TAAGCTTTCAGCTCCTTTGGGTAAATACCAAGGAGCACAATTGCTGGGTTATACAGTAAGAATATGTTTAGTTTTGAATGAAGCTGCCTAAGTGGCTTCCAAAGTGGCTGCATCATTTTGCATCCCCACCAGCAACGAGGGAGAGTTCCTGGTTTCCCACGTCCTTGGTAGCAACTGGTGTCCTCCGTGTCCTGGATTTTGGCCATTCTAATAGGTGTACAGTCTTATACCAGATTCTTTGAGGTGTTATTAGATACATACAAGTTTAGAATTATATTTCCTAGGGGATTAACCTTTTGTGCATTTTGTAATAAAACTCTTTCATCTATATAACACTTTTCTTCTTAAACTCTAGTCTAATGATGTCATTAAAGCTACGCCAGCTTTCTCTGTCTACTATTGCTTTATATATATCCCTCTTCCTTTTTCTTTTTTTTTTTTTTTGCTTTCAACCTATCTGAGTCTTTATTTTTTAGGTTAATCTCTTAAAAATTGCATATAACTATTTTGTTTTATATACATGTTGGTAGTCTTTATTTCTTAACTAATGAGTTTATACAATTTATATTTATTATGATTACTGATATATTTGAATCTACTTACCACATTATTTTATGCTTTCTATTTGTCTTCCTTTTTATTTTATTTTTGTTTCTTTTTTCTCTTTTCCTGACTTCCACTGCATTTATTTTTTTTTAATTTTAAAAAAGATTTTGTTTATTTTTAGAGAAAGGAGAAGGGAGGAGAAAGAGAGGGAGAGAAATATCAATTATGGTTGCCTCTCATGTGCCCCACACCAGACCTGGCCTGCAACCCAGGCATGTGCCCTGACTGGGAATCGAACTGGCGACCATTTGGTTTGCAAGACAGCACTCGATCCACTGAGCTACACCAGCCAGGGTGAATTGATTAAAAAAAATCCATTCATTTTATTCTATGCTGGTTTGAGGTCATGTATTCAATTTCTATTTTTTTAGTGATTATCCTTAAAATGTTTACATGTTTATTTAACAAAGTTGATCCGTATGTCTATTCTCTTCCCAAACAACCATTGTCACCTTAAATCTTATTGTAGTCTAGTACACTAGTGCAATGCACCTTTTCTGCCTCATGTATTAACATAATTATCATAGTTTGGGACCCTAACAGGATCATTTTTCTTTTTCCTGAAATAGATCCTTTAGAATTTTTTCTAAGAATTCATAATGAGAATTTTATTTTTTAAAAACCTTTATTGCATTTTTCCCATTACCATTTAGTCCCCTTATACCTACCCACCCCCAGATTTTTTTTAATGAAAGAATGTTGGTGGTAAGTCCTCTAATTTATTTAAAATTATTTTTGTTCCACCCAATTTCTCAAAGATAATTTTGCTGAGAATAGCATTCTAGAATGGCAATTTCCCTGACCCTCCCCCAACAAATTGAAGTACTGTAGTACTACTACTATACTGGCATCACTGTCACTGTTGAAAAATCAGCTGTCAATCCTCCTTTTTAGGTGACTTGTCTTTTCTGACTGCTTTTAAGACCATCTCTTTTTCTTGGTGTTCTCTGGTTTCACAAAAGCTCTAGGTATGCGTTTCTGTTTATTTAATTTGCCTGGGACTGTTGAGCTTCCTGGACTGGCGTATCAGTGTTTTTCCAACATACTGGGAAAATCTCAACTGTTATTTCTTCAAATACTGCTTCTATCCAATCTTCTCTATCATCTTCTCCATCCTCCATGCCACTTAAACTTTAAAATATATTTTGCATGTCTTTTACTCAGTGGACTTGTGGAGGTTCAGAACTAGGTACTTCTGTAGTACTTCTGTGGTACTCGGATTGTTTTGAGCTAAAGGCAACTTCAGCTGCAGCTCAGGAGAAACTTCCACCCTCCCTTGATGACCTGGAAGGATTTGAATTAGGGACCTTGCTAGCAATGGGAGAGTTTCAGAGATAACCTCTTTTGACCTATCTACTGGGCAGGACAAACTTCTGATTACTAAACACCTGCTCTTCTTGTCCTGCAAGGACCCTTTGAAACCCCAATGTGTATTACCTCCTCCCTAGCTCAGAATTCCTATATGCCTGATCTCCCTTTCTCTCTCTGAACCTCCCTTTTGTGGGGGGGGTCTCTGACTGTCTCATGTATGTGAAGTTCCCATACATATATATACATATATATATATATATTTTAAAGATATTTATTTATTTATTTTTAGAGAGAGGGAAAGGAAGAAGAAAGAAAGGGAGAGAAACATGGATATGTGAGAGAGAATTGCCTCTTTCATGCCCCCAACCGGGGCCTGGCCCCCAACACAGAAGTATGCCCTGACTGGGATTTGAACCTGGGACCTTTTGCTTCACAGGCCAGTGCTCAATCCATGGAGTGACACCAGCCAGGGCTACATATATTAAATGTGGTTATTTTCTCTTGCTGGTCTGACTCATGTCTGATTATTAGACCAGCCAGAAGAACTAGAGAGGAGAGGAAATTTTGTTCCTCCCCCACAGACTGTGTTCTGGCTAATATATTCACATCTATTTTCCATTTAGTTAATTCTCACATCATCTGTTTAACCACTCATTGCATTTTTTTAAATCAATCTTTCCTTTATATTTGTATGTTATATTTGGTTCATCTTCAAATCTACTGGTTGTTCTTATGCTTTTATTCCTTTCTCATAGTTTAAAGCTTCTCTTTAATTTCTTAAAACATATGAAATATTCTTTATATTCTGTGTGATAATTACAATATCTTTAGTCTTTGCAAGTCTGGTTTTGCCTGCTCTTGTTTAGCTGGCTCTTATTCACAGTGTCTTATTTCCTTGTATACTTATGACTTTTGGCTGTGAATTCATGCTCCTTGCGCATGACTCCTTGAGCTCCTTGAGCTCCTTGCTCAAACTTCCCCTGTGGAACTTCTTTGAGCCCTGGATTGGAGTTGTGTTGTCTCAAACAAGGTGCACATTTTTTCTGTCCGTCAACCAGGGGTGCTATCAACCAGGTACCACTTCAAAATAAATGACCTGCTCTAGGTTCTTGAACCACAGAGGCAGCGCTAACTTGGCCCCAAACCCACATTAGAGCAGGCTTCTTACACATTCTCCGGGAACATATTTTTCTCCTTCCTACCCAGCTCCAAAGTCAAACAAAATAAGCATGACTCTGTGATGCCCTTCTTCAGAGTAAATTTACTTTCTGTTCACCCTTAGGTGAGATCTGAGCTGTTTGAATCCCAGCTTTATGTGGGTAATCTCCTATTGGTCTCCTCCCATAGCTTGGGTCCAGGCCTTCTCTCTGGTCTCCTCTATCGCACAAAGCGCCCAAACTGGTAGCTCCAAGTTCACTGGGGTTTGGTTTGCTGGATACTCTTGAGGCAAAAGCCGACTTCCAGCTGACTTTTCCTTGGGATTACTGGTTTCACTGTGCTTTTGTTCTGAAAATTTCTTGTTTTCTTGCCAGCTCATTGCATTTGAAAAGATACTTTCTATTTTTATCCAGCTCTGGAGTTACTTGCACTGGGACATTTACTAGCATTCTCCCAGACATGGAGGCCTGGCTGTTTTTCTAGTCCCCTCTTTTACTGAAGGGTGTCCACTGTGGTGGGACCTCCAGGGGCCCCCAGTTACTATGGAGATCTCAGTTCCAGCGGCCTCCCTGGTGTGCATGCATCCCAGACCTGGTCTCCTCCCCTGGGCGCTACAACTAAAGCACACGGACCTAGGCTGCCGGCCGATGTTTGTGAACCCCTTTGGGGCAGCTGTGGCTTCAGCACCCATCTAGCCTCTGGGGACCGTGCAGACTCGGGATATCCTTGGGGTCAGCATATGCATAGAAAACTGCAAACAGTTTCGAGGACTCTAGGTAGCTTCACCTTCGTGGGGACTTCCGTGTTTTGCTGCTGCGTCCTCAGGGCAGCTCTGCTGGCACAGTGACGGCCAGGTTCCCACATGTGTCTTCCCGTCAACCAGATGCTCGCCGCTCTTCCATCTCCCGGGAGGCTGATGTGCACCCTCGCAGTGGCTCTGAAAGTTGTCAAGGTCACGGAACTCTTTCAGACTCTGCCGACAGCTATGGATCTTTCTCCAGGAAAATCCAGTGCCGGCCACTATAGGGAGCCGTGTCAGAGGGCTCCTCATTTTCTGCCCAGCCCATGCACTCAGTGATTTGTCTACCTAGAGGTGGGCGCGGGGTCTCAGGCCTCAGCTTTGCTGGGCCTCTGCTCCCTCAGGAACTCACATGGTGTGTACACAGCCTGGGACTAAGCAGAAAGCCTCACGCTCCGTGGTTTTGATTGAGCCTCTCTGTGTTTGGCTGTTTTCATATAATCAGGTGACTGTGTTGCCAGTGGGCCTATACAGGGTAGGCCTAAGGGGAAGTTTTTGTTTTTTCCTTTGTATTGGCATCTGATTTCCTGTTTGCACTTGGTAAATAGCAGTTCCTGGGCCGCTGCTGGCTTGACCCTGGTTTATTATGTTTTCAAGCCCCTACCTGAGTTTAGACCTATTTCAAGGAGTCTGAGCCTCTTTTGATTTGTTCTTCGGTGAAATTTTAATAAATGCTAACTAACAAGATGCCTCTCTGTTTAACTCCTGGTCTTCTTGTGACTCTCTGCGCTTCCAATTTGGCTTTTTTCTTGACCTCTCTGAGCTAGCTTCCATCTGTAAAAGCAGTAGACCAACCTGGATCGGATGTACATTTGTAACCGGCCCCCCGTGCCCCCCCCCCCACCCCCGCCCCGTGAGTGCCTCGGGGTTGCAGGGCAAGAGGAACGGGGTGCAGGGAGGGGCTCCAGCCACAGCGCCACTTCCACCAGAGCAGGCCTCTGTGCATGTCCCACACTGGATCTGGAGTAAAATTCATTTTGAGCAGAGCTCCATGGGGATCACTGATGCCCCTGTGTTCTGCGGCCTGAGCTGCAGGTGGAGGCAGGGAGAAATGTTCCTTGTGTGACCCACTGGTCCCCACTCTGTGGCAGACACCACCCCCCTGACTCCCTAACTCTGCTCCTAGGAAAGATGTTACCCGCTCCAGTCCCAGGGAAGATGCTACCTCTGACGATGAGGATGTTCGTGCTGCTGCTGCTGCCCCTGAGTCGGGCCGCTCCCAAGGATGGAACCATGAGGTAACGGGATCCAGAGGTCGGGGCCATGGGTGGGGAGCGAGGGGCCTTTGGAGAGTCCCAGGCTGTGGTGGGCCCCTCGGGGAGGCAGGCTGGGGTGTACGCTCCCTAACCTCTGTAACCCTTCCCACTGCCCTCCACCTCTCTGCCTTGACCCTGTTCGGGTGCCCCACACAAAGTGGGCACGCAGTGGGTGTTTGCCGGATGCATTTGGAGCTCAGGAGCTCCAGGGAGGTGTGAAGCTCAGGGGAGAAGCTGTGGGCGGGGAAGGGGCTGCTGTCCTCTTATGGAGACCTGAGTGTGGGGGCTCCGAAGAAAGAGAGGTCGTTAGCATGTCATCTCCACTTTCTTTGACTAGTTTTTCTTGTACCTGTGCAGTGTGCATCCTGGGCAGGGTGGGGGGCAGACGCGGGACAGCAAGGGCTGGCAGCAGTGACTGAAGCTGCTGCAGCAGCTTTGCCAGCTCCGCTGCCCTCACGGGTCTGGGCTGACTTGGGCGAATGGGTAGCCTCGCTCAGAACTGAGAGCCAGTCTGGGGCTTTAGAGACTGACCAGGAGACCCTGAGCAGACTGAAACTCCGAAACCAGCACGCATGCCCTCAGCCTGGGGGACCAGGGAGTCCAGTTCGTGTCGTTGTGTCAGTCAGCTCTCTACCAAAGTGGGCTGTGCCACTGAGCTTGGCCAGACACTCGCCCCTCGGGCCCAGAGTCAGAGAACTGTTGCCCCTCACTGCGCTGTCTTCTTGGGTCTCCAACTTGTATCGGTAGGTGCGGCCTCATCCAGCCTCTGTCCGACCAGATGTTTTATGGAGCTTTTCCCTTCCCACTCAGTTAGGAGTCTGCAGACACCGTGTCCGAGGGAGGAAGGCTCTGCTCCTGAGGACAGCAGAAGGGCCTCCTCCCCCAAGGGTCTGGGAGAGAGAACTCTGCCAGGACTTTGGGGGTGGGAGGCCGGTCCACTGGGCCCTCAGGGAGGCTCTTGGTGAGTCTGGTCCTCCCCTCTCCTCCAGGCTGGACTCCGAGGTGCAGCAGCAGCCCCTACCCAACCCCTTCCAGCCAGGCCAGGAGCAGCTCCGGTGAGTAGCCTGGGCTGGGGGCCTGCGGGTGAGGCTGGAGGCGGTGGACCAGCCTCTCGTGGGCTGACCAGCCGCTTCCCATCAGACTCCTACAGAGCTACCTGAAGGGGCTGAAGAGGATGGAAGAGGACCCGGAGCACATGACCCGGGAGCAGGGTGAGGGCTGGGCTGAGGGGCTGGTGGACGGGCAGCTCAGGGCGGCCAGAGCTGGGGCTGACGCCTCCTGCCTCCACCACCTGTCCCTCTGCCGCCTCTTCTGACCTGGCTTCTTCCCCTTAGTCCTGCTCTACCTCCTTGCCCTCCACGATTACGACCAGAGCAGACAGCTGGACGGCCTGGAGCTCTTGTCCATGTTGACAGCAGCTCTGGCCCCTGGAGCCTCTGACTCTCCTGCCACCAACCCGGTAAGCCCTGCTGGATGGGACCCTCCCCCTCCTCCCTGGAGGAGACCAGCACCCTGGGGCTTTGGTCCTTTTCATCATGACTCATGTGGTGAATCCCCAGGAATGCTCAAAGCCTGTAGGACGGGGGTGGGGGCAAGGGGGCATTGGGAGGGTCAGGGCTCCGGAGACCCCCTCTGGGCACTGTGGACCCCATAGCCACGGGGCATTCCCACAGGTGATCCTGATGGTGGACGAGGTACTGGAGACTCAGGACCTGAACGGGGACGGGCTCCTGACGCCTGCGGAGCTCATCAACTTTCCGGGAGAGGCCCCGAGACACTTGGAGCCACAAGACGTGGGCAGACAGTCCCTGTTGGCTAAAAGCCCGTCAAGACAAGAAACACAGGAAGCCCTGGGTCTCAGAGAAGCAGCTGGGGGACAGGTGGAGGCCAGAAAGGAGTCCTCGGAGCCTGTACAGGAGGCTGGAGGAGAAGCCGCAGGCCCTGGCGGGGAGGCTGGGGGACAGGCAGAGGCCCTGGACACCGGAAAGGAAGCAGAAGGGCTTCTGGGAAAAACGCCGGAGTCTCAGAACACCCCAGGGGAGTTTGAGGTTCACGCGATACAGCTGGAGAATGACGAGATATGAACCTTGAGGATCCAGGTTTGTGCCCCTAGAAGTCTCGGCGCCGGAACATAAGCTCCGAAGGGTGGGGTGTGTATGTTGGGACAAGGACCACCTCTTGCCCCCTTCCTGGCCCCATTAGGTGGCAGGTCTTTCTGTGCAGCTCACGGAGACCCTAAGTTGAGGACTGAATAAAGGAATGAAAAAACTCACCCCCCTGAGCCATCTGTCTACTGGTCTAGCCCAGCCTCTCGGGGAGCAGGGATTCAGCTTTCCCAGCATCCCCAGCTGGTGCGGAGACACAGCAGAGGAGGGCTCCAGGCCGCAGCCAGCTGCAGACAACCTGGAAGAGAGCTCAGCCTCTCCCCGTCTCCCTGGGGCCCGAGCACACCTGTGCCCCCCTCACCTGGTGTCCAGACACCCAGTGTCCCCTGCAGCTCGAGGCAGCTCTTCCCCATCACCCTGTATCTCCCCCACCCCATAATATTGACAATATCCACCGCTGGTCAACAACCTAGTACACACCAGCATCACACTGGGCATCTCGTATACTGTGGGATTTTAGCCTCTCGGCAGTTCCACGAGCAGATAGAATTAGCTCCGTTGGACAGATGACGACATCGAGGAAGCCTGAGTGCAATAATGCACCCAAGGTGACACAGCTAATTAAGAGGCAGATCTGAGTTCAGTTCTGTCTGCGGCTTCGCACGCCCTGCTCCAGCTCCGCCGCCGCGTCAGCCCTGGTCTCCCCCAGGGACAGCAACAGCTGCATCCTGGGTCACATCTGTGGCTGAGACACTGCCTTAACTACCAGGCGGCTCCCAGGGCGGAGTTCCCAGGCTTTGGAGCGGTCACTGGGAAGCTATTTTTGGACGGCACAGGCCCCACCAAACCACAGAGTAGGCCCCCTGCCTGCTGGCCTGTCAAGCTGTCAGCCCGAGCCACTCCTGGGGCCACGGAACTGGAGTCCTGGGACAGCACAGGGGCCCAGAGGGGCTTTTCTCATGATCTGCGGTTGTTTGGAAGGTTCCCGGGGGTCCAAAGAGTTTAGCATCCTCCCTGGCCAGGATGGCTCCCTGTCACCGTGGATGCCTGAACTGGGCCCCCACCACGGGCACAGCTGGTGGCAAGCCTGGGGCATTCCTGCTGCTCCAGCCTGGGCAGCCCCTCCTTTGGGCCTGGGTAGGGAGGTGGGCGGGGGGAATGGAAAAAAGTGGGGGCAGGGCTGTAGCATCCAAGCCCCCAGAAGCCCTGCCAGAGCAGTTTGGACGCCGAGGACAAGCAGACTGCCAGAAGGAAGCAGGCTCCGGGGAATCAGATTTATTGGCTCTGTGGCCTTGCAGCGTGCGACGCCAGGACGCAGGCGGAGCCCTCCTCTGCCCCCGATCTGCCCGGGAGCAGGGCTGCCCGGCTGCCAGGCTGGATGGAGGGGAGGCGGCACTGGCAGTCGCTGACGGAGGCCCCCACGGGGGTGTGTGCGGTGCCTCCCGCTGTGGGGCACTCACACGATGCCGTCGAAGCCCTGCAGGCCACACTTCTTGCCGGCCACCTGGCAGCCGAACCTCAGAGCCTCCTGCATGCTCTTTCCTGGAGGGAGGCGGGCGGGGGAGGGACGAGTAGCTGACTCAGCCTGGCCGTCTGCACAGGGCCAGGCCCCGCCCGGTGCCTCCTGCTGGGGTACTCACCCTGCGACAGGCTGAAGATGACCGCGGCATTGAAGGTGTCGCCAGCCCCCAGGGTGTCCACCACCCGGGGCGGCGGGAAAGCATCCGAGTGGAACAGCTGTCCATCGGGGCCCAGGGCGTCGGCGCCCTCCTCAGCCCAGGCACAGATCAGCACAGCCCTGCAGGACCCTCCGCTCAGCTGGGTGCGGCCCCCTGGGCCCCGGGCTCACGCCCCCCTCCCCAGGGCAGACCGGAGCCCAGGCTGGCTTGGTTCCCACAGCTTTTCTTCCTGGAGTTCCCCAGCTCACCCTCTCCTCACACGACTGTACAAGCCCCTCAGGGCCTCCACCGCTGATCGGAACCCCAAGTGCTTGGCTATGTCTTTGCTGACAAACACCTGTGGGCAGTGGAAGAGAGGCTGACGGTCACCCAGCTCCAGTCCCGGCCCAGCCACTCCCCGGCAGCAGCCCAGCATCGCCCGCCCACGATAACCCTGCTCCTCCAACAGGGCCCCCCCCCCCACCCCCAAGACAGTATTCCACCGCCTCACAGGGACACGTTTTCATCCTTGCTCACGGTCTGCCAGAATTCAGCCCTGTCCACCGGGACACACACCCTGGTCTGTCTGTCCTACCGTCAACGAACTTCTTCCGACCCAAAACCCAAAGCGAGCCTTGAGCGCCATCTTGGGGTGACATCTAGCATTTCGGCCAAGTGAAACTGCCGGCGCTCCGGAGCATTTCTGCTTTTGTTACGTTTGTTTTCCTCTCACAACTCTGCCCTCTAAGCCTGGCTTCTTCATTGAACAATCCAAGGGGTAGGGGCTCAGAAACTCCCTCAACACTTGCCACACAGTACAGCCATCCGAGACAGCGTTGTTAAGAAATCCTTGTGCCCAGGCCCCACCCCTGCCACACAACAGGCATCCACATCTTTTATCCCACATCCCAGGCTGGGGGCCAACCAGCTTCCGCTGAGTGGCACTGAGCTTGTCAACCAGATTCCATTTAGACCCTGCTCTGCTCAAATCACCTTGTGCAAGTCCCCTTCCTATCCTCCCTCACCTGCTAGTGCCTCCCACACCCTGTCACTCACCCCAGAGTCAAAGGACGCCTGGGAGGACAGTCCTGTCCTCTCACTGGACAGAGAAAAAGACTGAGGAGGCCCAGGGAGGAGATGCTTCCACAAAGGATTGCCCTGTCCAAGCCATTTGGCTACCTACCCTCATACCTACCCACCCACTGGGGCAGAGAAATTCTCCTTGGCCACGGCCGATGGCTGCACCGGAGCCCAAAGCGGGGAGTGGCCTCTTTTCTTTGTTCCCTCGCTGCTAACACCACCAAGCCCTGAGTAGCTAGCCATCCAGGAGTGGCAGGCAAGACAAGGGAATGTTCAGGCTCCTTCTAAGAACCAAATTAGCTGCATGTGGCCAGGATAAGATGCTCACCACGTCTCCATAGCCAAACAGCGGGAACAGCTCCTCTCGGGGCTTCTCCACCTCCACGGACACCCGGATCTTCTGCCCCGGAGGCTGCCGGGCATTGTGCTGGTCTATCCGCTGCAGCATCTTCACCTGCTCCGAAGCGTTCCGGCCCTGGGCAGGGTGGGGACGCTCAGGACCAGGTGCGAAGGGCCCAGCTGGTCCAGCTCCTTCTTCCCTCCCTGCTGAAACTCTGGGTGAGGGGGGCGGTGGGGGGCGTGGTGGAGGCTGGGCTAGAACCCCATCCTCGATCTCAAAATTCTAGAACTATCATGGACCTTAGAGGCCTTCCCATTTCACAGATGATAGATGAGGAGACTAAAGAATGAAACAGATTTTTCTTGCCCATAATAAGTTAAACAACAGGGCTAGGATTAGAACTCAGGACTTCTTGGGATTTTTCTCCTCCCTTCTGGACTCCAAAGCTTCTCTGGCAATGGAGATTCTAGTTCCCTGTATTTGGGAGCTGGGTTGGGCCTTCCCCTTCCTGCCTCCCAGAGGTCAGGCCTCCCGCAGCCAGGCCCCTGCCAGCGTGCAGGGCCCGGGCGCAGGGCAGCCTGTGACACAGGAAGCACGGGACTTCGCCTGAGTCAGCATCCTGCTTCTGGCGCTGCCTCCTGCTGTGTGACTTGAGTAAGTCACCCAACCTTTGTGGGCCTTAGTTTCCTACCTAAAAACATAGAGTAGGATGATGGAAAGGGGACGAGGAGGGTCGTATTTATTGATCACTAAGGCACTTCATGGTTCAAAGAAACCAAGAAGGGGGCAAAACACGAGGAGGGGCTGGCAGGCTGAGCCCTTCGAAGCGCAGGAAAGGGCTTGCCTCAATGTGGATCCACTTGAACCGAGTCAGATCGACTTTCTCAAAGTCCAGAGCAGAGACATCTGGCAGGTTCCTAAGTCACAAGACAGAAAGGACAAAGAATGGCATGGTGAGGATGGCCAGGACCGGGGTCCCCAACAGGCTGCTGGGGCCCTTACGACCGGCCCTGACAAGCACGGCAGGAAGCTAGATCTACAGCACAGGCTTCTGAGGCTCAGCTCCGGACCGACTCTGTCCCTAGCGGACCTCACAACTACTCCTCGCCCCACTCGACGCCATCCAGAGAGGGCATCGGAGGCAGTCTGCTCGCACACCCCTTTTGGTGTTTGGGGCTGTGATGTTCTCTAAGGGCAAACAGTACCTGTCTGTTGGGGAGCCAGTTTTGTGTGCCTTGGAGACCATACCTCCCAGAATGCCCTAAGAACACTGAGGACTACAGTTCCCAGAATTCCAATTGCCAGCAGCACACTCCGCTCCCAGCGGTGCCCCAGGAAACTACTAAGGCCTGGCTGCTCTGCCTGGAGCTCCGGTCTGGTTCCACTCACTCCTGGCACCACAGCAGGGAGTTCGGCAGCTATGTGGTGCAACCGTGAGGTTAAGCTTAGCGCTTGAGGATGAGTTTAATTTGGCTAAGTTATGGGTGGACACCCCACAAGGGTCCATCCACCTTGACCTTCCTTGGCCAGAGACCTACACACAGCCGAAGTCCTGTCTGTATTGCAGAGCTGAATCCTTCTTAACCAGCTGAGCGACCTGGGCCTTTCCAAGGCTGCTTTCCCCATCGGTCAACGGGGCCCAGACCCCCAGCCTCGCAGGCACCCTGCGGGTTTTTGGAGGGGATGCGATGCCTTTGGCTGTCCCTGCATTGAGGACGGCGAAGAGCTCCCGTCCTGTGAATACGCATGCTGCATCCTTGATGGATGTTGCTACAGGCTGTCGCTTAACGGGCAGATGACCAGGGCCACCTGATGTGAATCTGTCACCAGCGTGCGTGCCCACTCACTCGCTCGTTGGGGCACACAGAGCCCAGGGACCGTGGGCCGAGAAGCCTGTCCTGGGAGGACGGCCCCTCCCCTGATGGAGTGGTTGTGCTGGGCAGTCAGGATGGCCTGAACCGCAGGGCGGCTGAGCTGGGGCCACTCAGCCCCAACACAGCACCTGACAGATACCTGGTTCTCAGTAGCTACACCCCTGAGACTCTTCAAGAGGGAGTCTGGGGGAGATGAGGAGAATCTGAGCCCCCAGGGCCTCCCCCCAGTACCTTGGGCCCTAAAGGGATCCCCTCCCTGTCGTTTGGCACTTCCCTGGACGACCCTAATCTGCTGACCCCGTGCCCCCTCATCAGTGACTGCAGGTGGGGTGTGGGGTGTGGTCCGGCTGCATCTCGCTGGGAACTCAGCAGGGCCTCGTCTTTTCTGAACCCCAAGCCCCAGATCCTTGGTGCCAGGCTGCAGGCTGGCCACTCTGAGGCTGACCCTGGAAGTCCCACTGGGTCCCCGCCAGGGCAGAGGATAGTTTGAATCACATCTCCCGCCCTTCTGTCCTCAGAACAATGTCCCCACACCCAACCCGGGCTGCTGATTAATGAATTATGGAGGAATCACACCATAAATTACGTTTTGTGCAGGCACGCCTGCCCATCCTCGGTGCTGACCAAGGCCAAGTTGCCAGGCAGAGCGAAGCCCTTCCCGTCCCCACCCCCTCCTCCCCCTAATTGAAAACAATTCAGAAAGCACTGAGCAGTCGGGCATACGGACAATTTCTGGTACAGAGAGAGGCCCCAGAGGGTGGGCAACTGGGATGCCCATGGTGGCAAGTGAGGGAACTGATTGGTGGGTGTGGCAGGGTGAGGCCAGGGGGCCTTACGTGTCATACAGCACAATGGTACGGGAGCCACTGGAGTTGTTGACGATGCAGCAAGAGCATGGGGTCTCTCCCCTGCTCTGCCAGGCCACCTGAGACACGTCCACACCCCGCTGCCTGAAGTCAGCCACCAGGAAACTTGGGGTGGAGCCCGAGCCAAGGGAAGGGCAAGGAGACACAAATTAGAGCCTACAAACGGCCTGAACCTTCCACGGGGTGGGGAGGGGTGCCGGAGCATATGGGTGCTGAGCACCCCTCTTCCAAGAGGAGATCCTGTTCTGGGAATCCAGTGATGGCGGCGGCAGCTGGCGAGGCGCAGACAGGTGTACAAACCTGTAGGCGTGCAGGATGGTGCGGCTGCCGCTGGCCTCGTTGACGATGACCGTGGCGATGGACATGGAGCCTGTGGCCTGAACGACCATGTGGCGTAGGTCCACGGAGTAGCGGCGGAAGTCATCCAGGACAAAACTGCCGGGCAGAGTAACCCGGGGGGAGATGCAGTTGACAAGGTTTGGGGGCTGGAAGGTAGCTGGCAGGGCCACGAGGGACTCAGGCTGCAAGCAGAGGGGGCCAGGAGGGAACTAGGAATCACCAGCTGTCACAGGCTGTGCGAGGAGGAGGGAGAGGCAGGAATGCATAGGCGGAGCTCAGCGAGAAATGCACCAAGGGGCATTGTCTTCGGTCCAGACTCGAGGCAAACTCCAACCCTGACACTGCCCTTCACTTTGACTCAAGCTGGGACGGATGCGCTTACACTCAGACAGCTGCCGGGGCAGACTTGGGGTGGTGGCCCGCGCCCTCTTTGACACAGCAGGGGAGGGGACCGTGGCCTGTTTCATGCAAAGCCCCGGCAGAATTAACAATTACCAAGGTGATACTTTGCCCACCAGCTGCCCTCAGCACACCCACCCCCGGGGCACTCTGCTCTCTGAAGTCCCTTCCAGCCCTACAGTGAGTCCTCTCACTCCCCACCTGCTGGCCGGGAGGCGGTGCTGCCTTGGTGTGCCCGCTCACTGCCCTCTCCCCTCGCACCAAGGCGAACCCTTCCGGCCAGGGAACGGGCTCCCGGTGCCTGATGCCCCTCGGTGTGGGCCTGAAGACTGCACCAGCAGGGGGACAAGGAGGCCAGTGCTACCCTTCCGGGCCGTCTCTGGAAGGTCAGTGTCCTGTGCCCAAGACCTGGCATCACGCTGGCCAGCCACCATCCCAGCTTTTCTCACTATGGCGGACCCCACTGATGGCAACGCCAAAGCTGGGCAGTGCAGATTTGTGCAAAGGTGAAGACAATCACTCTGGGAGAATGGAAGGGAGCAGGAAGGGGGAGACCAAACGTGAGACGGAACGACTCCATAAAGGAAGCCACGGGAGCTGAGCAGGGCTGGCGAGGACAAGACACTGGGGGCATCCCTCAGCCATGGGGTTACCAGGAGGTGGAGCCAACTCAACAGCCTGTGACAGACACGAAGTCAGGACACTGGTCCCTGTCTTACACCTTGAGGGCCCTTTAAATAGTAGCTTTCCCATAGCATAGAACACATGGTTGGTTTACCAAATAACTTTGTGTACCCACAGAGCCCGGCACATGGCAGGTGCTCATTAAATGTTTGTTGAGCCCACAGGACAATTTGGAATGGCCCAGCCATCGGGGTGACTGCTGCAGAAAGGCAGGTCCACCACCCTAAGTAAGGACCAGTCTCACCTCCAGCTGGGAGGGAAGGCAGCTGCTGGAGAGGGTTAATAAGCGACCAGCTGTTGGCCCCGGGTCCCTGTCCCACTGCACAGACGGGCTCTCGCCCCAGTGTGCTTCCTGCCAGTTCCTCAGGGAAGGGAACCTGGCTGTGGCCGAGGGGGCTGGGCGCTCGCAGCAGTCCCCCTAAAGCAGGGTTCAAAGGGCTGTGCTTCACAGGCCAGCAACCTGGAACCTGCCCCGGTGCCCACAGTGGGCAAAGTGTGGGTCTGATAAGCCCTCGCTGAGTCAGCAGTGCCAGAGGTCAAAGAACCCGTGGGTGCCCGCCGCAGCCATCATGAACGGCACGTGGGCCCCTTTCGGGCTGCAGCCTCTCAGCCATGAGCTGGGAGGCATGGGTCTAGGCCCAGCTCCAGCACGTGGTTCCAAGGTGCCCCCGGCCAGGGTGCTCTTGCTGCTTCAGGGAACAGTGGGGACATGAGCACTGGCCCTGCCCCCTCACCTGGGAGACTGTGAGCCTGGACCTTCGGACCATGGCTGCCCGACACCCTTGAGGGAGGATGGGTACATGTCCCTAACTGCCTCTGCCTCAAGCACAGCCGGGATGAGGGAGTTAAGAAGGGCAAAGTCACATCCACCGAGGCCTGTTGGAAGCAAAGAAGGGGAAGGTGGGGGAGCTGAAGCAGGCTCCGGAGGGTGGCCAAGGAACCAGGCTGTGGAAATGAAACCTTTCGCAGGAGCAGCGTTAACATCTGAGGAGCGGGCAGGCCACACCAGGGAGGCTCGGGAATGCTGGCGCTCCAGCTGCCCACTTCGTCCCCTCCCACCCAGGTCTGGGGGCCACAGCCGTTTCTTACAGCCCACCCACCCAGGGTTAAGACTGCCTTTCCCCCCACCCTGAGGGCGGGCCTCCCCTGCCCCCTCTTCAACTCACTCAGCAGCAAAGCCGGGGGCCAGCGAGCCCATGAAGGCGCAGGGAGCCCCGAGCAGGGAGAGGACGGTGCAGGAGTTGGACGCGTTGCCCCCGCGCTGCCACCTCTGGGACAAGCACCTGTAAGACACAGTGGGGGGTCCCTGCAGCTCCAGCAGGCTCGTCCTGGGGTGAGCACGGCTGACCTCGGTGCCCTAGGGAGGGCCCGCAGAATGTGAGCGCTAGGAGAACCCCCCCAGAGGGCATCCAGGCCAGTCTTCTCGTTTCCAGGTGGGCCTCCAAGGCCAGCCAGGGCTGTCTCCCTAGCCCAGGCTAAATTCAAGTTTACAGCAGTTAATTTCTATCCCCACCTATTCTTATGACATCAGGAAACCACTCAGTCAGGTTCATTACAATTTGGGGGTTTCGGTCCCTGCGGGTTAGTGTCTCCTCAGTGTCAATGGCCCACCTCCCCCAGGTGGAGCCGCTGCGTCTTCGGCCTCCTCTTGAGAGCTGGATAACGCCAGGTGCCACTTTCCAAAGATATCAAATCTACTACCCGCTCCTGTCTCAGGAGAGTTGCTTTGATAATAACTCAGGGTAAACTGAATAAGAGAGGTGAACCTGGGCTTCGTGATCATGCAAGCAGAGGGGAGCTAAATATTACCATGTCAAAAGCTGAAAAGCCCTGGCTGGAGTGGCTCAGTGGATTGAGCATCAGCCTTCGAACCAAAGCGTTGCCAGTTCAATTCCCAGTCAGGGCATAGTAGGGGGTGCATGAGTGGCAACCACACATTGATGTTTCTCTATCTCTCTTTCTCCCTCCCTTCCCCTCTCTCTAAAAATAAAGAAATAAAATCTTTTTCTTTTAAGTTGAAAAGATTATTGGGTGAGTATCCGTTTTTCCTCCACCTTTTTCATTTATTTGTTTCCTTTTTTTCAACTTTATTGAAATACAGTTGACACATAACGTTTTGTAAGTTGGAGAAGCACAATGTGATTTTGATATACGTACACGTTACGAAATAATTCCCACAATAAGGTTAACTGACACTTCCATCACCTCACATCACTTTTTCTCCTCCCTCTTTGCTGAAAGTCTAACAAGAGGAAAACAACTCAAAGTACATCTGTTTGGCTTCATGTCATCTTCAACAACAACAACGAGAACTTATGCGTACAAAGTCAAACCACTTCGGTGATTTCTCATTTGCGCTCCAATAACACTGCGAGGGAAACAGTGCAGGCTGCTATTTCTCTTCTCCCAGCTCCAAAATAACAACAACAACAACAACAAAAACAACAACAACAACTGTGGCAGGTTATAATAAGAGGAACGAGTACCAAAGAATCACTCCTTAAGGGAAATAAGAGCATCAGAATTTTTGGACGAAGATGTACTTGTACACAAAACTTAACCCTGAGCTTCCCTTCCGCCTTGGGAAAAGGGAACCACCATCGTTTTAGAAAGAAAGGTCTCTCACGCTACGAGCTTTAGAGAAATTCTCACTCGGAGAAGAGAGAAGAGCCTGGGGTGGGGGGGTCTGCCTTGCTCGAAGTCACCCCGCAGTTAAAGACAAAGCTGGCGTCGGAACCCAGGTTCCCCGCTCCCACACCACTGCAACGCACTCTGTATTTGTGAATGGAAGGTAGTCAGGCCCCAGCTAGGGTGAGGTTTCAAAGAATGAGTACATACTTCTACTCTGTGGAAACCCCTCACAGTCACACCGATACCCAACTCGATGTGCAGAAAGGCTCTGCTGAACACAAAGGTGCTTTCTGGAAGGCTCTTCTCGGCCTGGTCCCTGGGAGGCAGGGCCATTCTTCAGGGGGCCGGCCCAGCACCTGGGGGCTGCTCCTGAGAGTCCCCAGCTGTCTGTGGAGCGCAGGCAGCCTGGGACAGGTGGGGCTGAGATGGCCGAAAGGGACTGCCCCCCCCCCCACCCCCAGGCTTGCTCATCTGGGAGGCACGACAGCATCCAGAAGCTGGGCTGGGCGCGATGGGAGCACACGGGAGAGGCCCTCAGGACAACCACAGGCTCTGCAGAGGAGCAGAGCGGTGGGTCTGGGGCAGCGGGAGGCCCACCCTGAAGGGCAGGGGCATGGGGAACGTGGGCAAGGTCTCTTCGGAGCGGCACCTCACTGCGCCTGCCTTCGGAAGCAGCCCCAGGCAGAGTGGCAGGACCCCCCCCCCCCCATTCTAGCATTCTAGCCTCCATGGGGCACCAGGTCTGGTTGAAAGAGGCACTCGGGTCTTCCTCAGGCCCGCCACAGTCCTCAGGGGACCTGAGGCTCCGAGGTGTGCACTGCTGCCCTGAGAGCAAGCCTAGCTCCCCTCTGGGCACCCTGCCCTAGGGCCGTCTTCATGTCGGAGAGTGGGCGCACCCTGTGCCTCTCTCCCACTGCCCCTGCACCCCTGGCAAGAGGCTCTAACTTCTGGCAAACAAAGCAGCCCAAAGCAAAGGGTTGGCTCCACGAGACGGGCAGCAGCAACGGGAAAGAGAGCACAAGAGATAGCGGAGAGCTGGGACACGAGGTTCGGACTTAGGAGGCTTGGGCTCTGATCCCTGCTCCGCCATGCACGGACCTCATGGCCTCACAGAAATCATTTAATTTCTCCACATCTTCCATATCTATAAAGAAAGGATCTGACTGGTCCTTTCACACTTCCCACGGGCTGCCGTGAGGAAAGTGTGGTAACACGTGTGACCGTGCTGGGTGAGCACCGTCTGGTCTCGCCCCTCAGCCTCACGGCTGGGAGTGCTGTCGCGTCTCGCTGAGCTCGGCCTTGAACTGGCCTTTCATCCAGGTCTTGACTGAGACAACTGATAGCCGAGGAGCAACTCTTCGTATTCCAAACATTGGCCTTTCCCAAGAGAAAGCCCTGTACTTCGCCCACAGAAGTGCTTTCCTGGGATTACAGCATAACGGCGTAGTTCTTATCAAGAGTAAATATAAGAACCAACAAACTCTCCAACTTCCACCAGACAACCGAGTTGGATGTTTTTTCTCCACTACATTGCCAACTGACTTGTGTAAAAAGGACTTCTGGTAAACTCCTTTCGGAATTTAGCACCAGGGAGAAGTCTGTGCTTGCACATGCCTAACCCACAGCACTTTAAGGGTCATCCCGGTGTCTGCAAGCCCTGAGCTACAGTGAAGTTCAAATGCCATGGCTTTAAATCTTCTTGCCCATCTAACTAACAATACATACTTCTTATTGTAAGCTGCCTCATTTTTTAAAGGAAATAGATGAGGCATATAGGTGGCAAATAAATTAGAAGCAAATGCTAATAAGAGGCAAGGGCATAGGTCTTGTTAGGAAACAAACACATCGGTCCTGCTTGTACTAGGTGCGCGTCCTTACATAAACCACTTCGTCTCTCAGAGTCTCTACTTGCTCGTGGGTAAAATAGGGATAATCATGCCTGACACAGTCCCGGGGGTGACATGGGAACTGGCGAACACAATGCTATCTGGAGCCTGGGTCTTGTCACTAAAGGACTCCATTCTTTCCCCAGGTCCCAGACACAGAGCAAGGGGCATGGGCTCCCGAGGACGGACTCGCATGGCCCCAGCCCTGCAGTCTTGAACGCCAGGCACAAATGCGGGGCTGCCGTGGCCCTTGGGGTCTCTGGGGGGCCCGGGCGCCCCTACCTGCTGTCCGAGTCCTCCTCCGGGTACTTGTCCACCACATTGATGATGTCCAGCACCACTAGCCCCACACATAGGATCTGCTTCTCTTCCATGAGGTCGCTCCCAGTACTTTCTGCCTGCTGGGCTGCAGGGATTGCTCCCGGACTCTGGCTCTTATTCTGCAAGATTACGTTCCCGCGCCCCGAAGCCGCCCTGGCTCCTCCTCCGAGTCCCGAGCTCCTCCCCCAGGGATCCTCCTGCAACGGCAGGGTGTGCAGTGGGGTGCAAAGAACGCAGTAGGGCCCTAACTCCCTACACCCACCGACCCAAGAGGGCCTGGAAGCGCAGGCCCGATGTCTTGGTCCCCCGGCCTCGCTTTAGCAGGTTGCGAGGCCCAGCAGTTGGTGACGCCTCCCACTTCTCGGCCTCAGTTTCGTTGTGTATCAAACGGACTCGGTGCTAATGCAAACCTGTCTAAAGCATTGCTAGGCAACCTCATGACTGCAAAAAAAAAAAAAAAAAAAAGGGCTGTAGACCCTTGCTCTGCCGTCTCCTGCATCACCGACTCCCACTCTACCCACTAGACCCTTGGGTTTGAGCTGGCCTCTTAACTGCGGCCTCTCGGAGTCGGAGTCGGCTAAAGCTTTGCAGCCTGCCTGCTCCCCAGGCACAGCCAGTCCCAGCCCGGGGCGGGAGGGGGCGGGGTGACAAGGTGAGCGGCGGTCACGTGACCAGAGACTGCGCTCCGCGCCCCCTGGCGAACACTCGCGGAACTCGTGTGACCCGGAAGAGGGTCCCAGTGGGGCGCTGAACCGCCCACGCTCCTAGCGGCTGGGCCACGCTGCCAGTCTGGAACCCGTGGCTCCCCCATTCTGTCCCTTTGTGCTCCTGTGTACCCCCGAACATACTAAAGCAGACAGATGGTGTATTTCGTTTTGTTCTTTTTTATAAAAACCAAGTGTCTTTATTCCTGAATAGTTTAGTATGGCGGTGGGAGCCCGAGCACCCTCAGGAGACCCGTGGAACCCAGGAAGTCGGCCTAGAAGCCAGTTGGGGGGGTTTCTAGGCTACCAAGATCTGCTCCTCCGCAGCCGGGTCCTGCAGGGGACACCGGTCAGGCCAAAAGTCTGGACGAGGGGACTCCGGAGATCCCAACCTGACGCACTCTGTTCGTGGGGAGTGGAGAGGAGGCTGCACCGGCGCCTTTGCTGCAGCGGGTCTGGAGACGGGGACTCGCCGAGGACTGGGGTGCGGAGCCAGTGCCCAGTCCCGCGCGGGAGCCCGCCGCCCCCCATGGCTCTTTTGCAGGCAGAGACGCTTCAGGCCGGTCGACCTGCCCCCTGCCTACGCCTGTTCTAGCTCCAGGTCCCCGTAGAGCAGGGCTCCGCTGAAGATGGTGAGCGGCTCCTCTGAGTGCGCCAGCTGCCCCATGACCAGGTCGATGCAGACCGTGTCGCCAGCCTGCAGCGGCAGGATGAGGCTGAAGACACCCAGGGCGCCCGGGCTGGGCTGGCTTTCGGCCACGGGCTTATTCTCCAGGCCCTCAGGCTCGTAGCCACCGGAGTCTATGCGGGCCACGCCCAGGTTGGAGCGGGACAGAACAGCCTCTACTTTCTCGTGCCGGTGCCCAGTCAGCACTGCGCTCAGCAGGTAGCGTCCGGCCAGTGGCGCGGTGAATATGCCTGGGGACAAGGAGGGCAGTCAGAAGAGACAGGTGGCAGGGGCTGGGAAGGCTTCCGGACTCAGAACTCCTGGACTAAGAGCGGTCTTTTCCCTTCTCTTCCACGAGAGTGTAAACTCCACGAGGGCAGGACATGCGGGTGTTTTGTTCATTACCGCATCCCCCGCACTCAAAACAGGGCCTCGGCAGGAGCAGGCCCCCAGTAAAGAGCTGTTGAAGGAATGACTGCCCCCCGCCAAGCTGTGGTAAGAATGAATAAATGCAAGAAAGAATAGGGTTCTCCCCAAATCAGAGCGTGAAGAGATTCACCTTGTCTCAAGGGGCAAGAATGAGGCCGTGCCACTGCACAGCTTCTCTGCCCCCATCCCCCAGTGCTCACCGGTCTCTGGGTCGTAGTAGTCCCCGTCATTGAGCAGGACTCTGTCGAAGGGCACTGTGCCTGGTTCAGACCGGGGCAAGCTCAGGGCAGCTGAGAAAGCCACCCGGGGCACAGACACTGCGGGTGCCCCTTCCACTCCTGAGTGAGAGTAGGGTGGCTGTCAGAGTGGATGCTCAGTGCAGAGCTGCCCAGCCTCCTCCCCTCCCCCTCCCCCTCCAGAGTCTCTACTCCAGGGCTGCCTGAGGCCTTCCATCCTCTGCCCCGGGTTCAGCTCCCCTCCTCCAGCACCAAATGAGAACTTACCCTGTTCACCTTGGGGCCCTGTGGGAGGAGGAAAGGGAGCAGTGAGAGGTGGAGCGGCTCGCTCTAATTCACTCAGCAAACACCTGCTGAGCCTGTCCAGCAGCTGTGCTAGGTGCTTGCTACACAGGCTCTAAGGCAGGAATGGGGGTACCAAGAAAAGGAGGAATAGGTCCAGGCTACTGAACTGCTGGGCCTGTGCGCTTAGCCCCCAGCCTTTCACACCTGACCCAGTGCTTGTGGGCTCAACCTTGGTCTTCAACTCAGCAGTGAGGCCGCCATATCTAGTTGGCCAACACAGTGACTGTCCCAGCTCCTAGTCACTTTCCTAATCACTATCAGCCATTTAGGACCCCCAATTTGTGCCCCTTTCCCCCTTTCCCTGTCAAGTTCAAAGGGGAATGTCAAGCCTGGGGCTGCCCCGAGGGGCGGTAACCTTGGCTGTGGCAAGGATCTCTGTCCACATACCTGGTGGCCCAATGGGCCCCTTTTGTCCATCCTTGCCTGGAGGTCCTGGAGGTCCAGCAGGGCCCGGGGGTCCCTGTACTCCAGGAGGCCCTGGGGGCCCAGCCTCACCTGCAGGCCCTACAGTGACAAAAGTCTGTTGAAGAAGAGCCAGAAAAGGAGTTTCCAAAGGACAAAGAGGGAGAAGCCTCCACAGACAGGTTGATGGGATCCCTCGCTGCCCACGCGGGATACATGGTGGGCAGAGCAGCACCCCACCCCCACCCCCACCCTCAGCCTGGTCTGAGCCACCAGGGGAGGGCGGGGAGCTGGGGCTCATCAACAAACCAACCCTGGGACAGTGGTGGGTCTGCAGTTCATGCTGGGCCGAGCAAGGCAAAAGTAGATGAGGTTAAGGCTGAGCTGTTGTGACGGAGGGAGAAAGGACGTGAAAGGGGTTCCCCCCCACGACCACCCCAGGCCTCCTCTTGCCCCCTCACCAGTGAGGTCCTTCAGGCTGAGCTGGTGAAGCTGGTCCTCCAGGAGCAGCAGCGAGCTGTTCAGGGTACTGAGTCGCCTTCCCAGGCCCGCCTGCCCTCCCAGCAGCTTCTCCAGCAGGGCTGCCTGTGTCTGGCTGGTGCTGTTGGTTTCCCGTAGCCCGGCCCAGAGCCCCGCCACATGTTTGGAAAGGCCCTCGCGTAGGCCCTGCAGTCCCCCAGCCACCGTGTCCAGCCGCTCACAGACTCCCTCCAGACGGCCCAATCGCCCCTCTAGGCTGGGGCACCGGCCAGCCTGTGCCTGTCCCTCCTCCAGGCCTCGGAAGCGCTCCTCACTTTCCATGACGTGTTCTGTGGCCTCCTGCTGCAGCCTGTTAATCTCAGAGATGATGCGGTCCTTGGTGGCTCCCAGGTCCGCCAGATCAGCGCCCTGGCCCTCCACCGTGGTCTGGAGCTCGTGCAGTGAGTCGTTGAGGGAGCTGAAGGTGAGGATGACTTCGGAAAGCTCTCCTTGCAGGGCCTGTAGGGCTGAGCCGGAGCTGCCCCCGAATACGCTGAAGCCATCTAGAGGCCCACGGCTTGGCCCCCCAACACCTGGGCCAGCCCCAGGGCTCCGTGGAGGTAGCAGGGGGCAGGAGCAGCGCTCCACCCCATCCCGAAGGCGGCCCAGTTCCTCTTGGACGCCACCGCAGGCCCCGCAGCCCTCGTCCCCACGGGCCTGCAGCAGACCCTCCAGCTGGCCCAGCCGTGCAGCTGTGAGGTTCAGCTGAAGTGTGAACTCTGCAGCTGTCTCATCCTGAGCATCAACACGACCCTGGAGCTGGCCCACGACCCCTTGCAGTCCCTCCAGCGTGGCCTGCCGGGCCTCCCCGGCTGCTCCCACCTTGTGCAGGCCCGAGATCGCCAGCCGCAGCTGCCCCTCGCTGTCTAGCACCCTGCGCTCCAAGGCACTGAGGGTCTCTCTGACCTGGGAGTCCTGCTCCCCCAAGGCTCCAGAGCAGAGCTGCCCACATGCCTGCACAGACCCCGCCACCTGCTCTTCCAGCAGGTCCAGCCGGCCACCTAGATCCCCGCTCACATTGGACAGCAGCCCCTCCAGCTTCTCTAGTCGGCCCCTGGCAGCAGGCAGCCAGTGACTCAGTCCCCCAGGACGCCCAGGCCAGCCCTCCACCTGCTCCTGCGAGGGACCCAGGGTAGAGTTGAATCGGTCCTCCAGGCGGGAGAGGCGGGATGCTAAGTTGGTGTAGCCTGGGGGATGGCCTCCGTGCCCCTCTGCACCTTCCAGCTCGGAGCCTCTCCGCCCACTCAGCACTTTCACTGAACTGGCCACGACCTCCAGCCTCCGATCCAGCTCCGCCAGTCTCCCGCCCAGCTCCGGAGGGCAGCATTCCTGAGGGGGCCTGTGGCCCACAGCCTGCCTGGCCAGCTGCCGCTGCCGCTCCTCCACAGAGGCCAGTGACTTCTCTAGTCCACGCAGCCGCTCCCGGTCCTCCTGCTGCTGTCGGCGGAAGCCATCCAGTCCCGCCAGACACACGGAGCAGGACTCTTGCAGACGCCGCTCCATCTCCCGCAGCAGCTCCTGGCTGTGGCCAGAGGAGGCTGGGGCTGGGTCCAGGGCTCCTCCACCACCGCCGCCTTGGCCACCACTGCTACCACCACTGCCACCACCACCACCACCACCGCCACCGTGATGGTTGTTGAGGTGGCCCAGCTCCTGGTCATGGGTGGAGACACGCTTGTCCAGCAGCTGCAGCTGCTGCTGGATCTCGTTGAGGGTTTCATGCACACCAGGGCGGGCGGCTGCGTCTGCTGGCTGCTGCCTCCCATTAAAGGCCGCCTCCACGGCCTTCTGGACATCTTCTGCCAGGCGCCCACTCAGTCCCTGCAGGACATCCCGAAAGCCCTGCAGCTCCTTGGTCAGGCTTTGTACCTGCTCCTCCAGCTGCTGCACCTTCTTTGACTCCCCGGGACCTGGCAGAGAGAGGGAGGACATAAGGCAGAGGGGCCTGTCTCAGTGCTTGGTGCCCACCTCCTGCTCCAGCTCCCTAGCTCCCAGGGCAGAGGTCCTAGCTGATTCAGCCACCCCTTAGCTGGGTGATTTGGACAAGAAAAGACAGAAGGAAACTCTCATTCACTGAACGCCTCTGGGCCAAGTCTTTGCGCCTTATAACAGCTTCATCGGGCAGCTAACATTAGCTGTTCCCATTTTGTAGATTGGGAAACAGAGGACCGGAGAGCTTAAGTACCTGGGCCATGGATTACAAGTTAATTAAGTGGCAGAGCCGAGGTTCAAACCCAGGTCATCTGTCTGACCACCAAGCCCATGCCCTTGTCACTGCCCAGAGGGCCTCTTAACTTTATGGAGACCGTTTCCTCATCTGTGAAATAGGTATGACACTATGTCGCTCCCTCAGGGCAAGTGGGGTGGCACCGTGGGCTGCAGGATGGTGGCTGTCCCTGTGCAGCACCTCCACACAACGCCACAAGGGACAGTGAGGTTCTGCGGTGAGCCTGTGGAGGCTCTCGCTGGATGGGGGAGAGTCAGCCAGAAGTTCCTGTTTCCATAATTACAACATGGCTTTCTCGCTGGCAGGCAGACACGGCACATCCGCACATCCGCACATCCGCAGTGCCCGGCACACAGGCAACAGGGCAACAGGGACCGCTGCATTCTGGGACCTGTGGTCTCCAGAGGCCACCAAGGGGCCTGGGACCTGTAGTCAGCTGCAGTGCATGCTAGGACTTGTAGTCTCAACTGTCCGGCCCCTTGGACCAAGCTTCTGAAGGAATTCCCCCTTCTTCCCGCAGCTGCTCCCTCCTGGGAAGTATCTTGGCCACACGTGGGCGTGCATGCGTGCGTGAGCACATCCACTCTCTATGCCTCATTTTTCTCCGGCCCCTCCGATCTCTCCGTCTGGTGTGCACACGCGCGCACACACATGCACAAACATGCGAACGCACACGTACACACGGGCAGGGAATCTGAGGGATCGCATTAACTCTTCTCTGTCCCTTCTTTCCTGACTCGGAACATTGGGATTTCCCCAGCAGCCTGGCCCCACATTTCCAGCCCACACTGTCTCCCACTTCTTTCTGCGGGGGTCCCACACTCACCTTCCCCGCCCAGCCCACTCAGGTGGCTGCCGGCACTGGAGCCGGAGAGGTTGGGGCGGCCCGGCTGGGGCCGGGGCCGTGGCGTGGCCGGGGCAGGGCCCAGCGCGGGGCCGGGGCTCTCGGCACAGTCGTCACCTGAGTACCCCTGACAGCACCTCCACTCCATGTCCGTCACCGTTTTGTAGGCCACGCGGTAGCGCGGTCGGAGGAAGTTGCGGTACCTGGGAGAGGCGGAGGGAGGGTTCTTTGCTCCTCGCTGTACCGTCAGTGGCCGTGGCCCCTGTCCGCAGAGGTGGGCAACTGCGGTGGGCAAGGCCTGTCCCTCAGGTGGGTCCCCCTTACCGTTCAGCATGTGGTCTTGCTCAACTGACAGCTGTCAGCTTGCTGGCCAAGGGCCAAATTCCTGTCCCCCCGGCCACCCCCCACCCCGTGTCCTGTGCAGGAGCCTTGAACCCCTACCCCCCTCGCTGAGAGGACTCGGCCCAGAGAAGGCATTCTGGGGCTGGCGGGGTGGTCTAGTGAAGTGTGCCCTCCATGTCCCTCCAGCCAAACCGCCGCCTCGGCATCTCCTCTAAGTGGCTCTGACTGCAGCCCCTGGCCCTGCCCCTCGCTACCTGCCTCATACAAATTCCCTGAGTTGGCTGCCCGCCTGCTATCCCAGCCTAGCCCTCACCCAGCGCCCACTCCCCAGCGCAGGGGCTCACGTGATGCTGTGGGTGCACTGCGGCTGGCCCCAGGCACAGGGCTGGTAGTCGGGCTTGACGAAGGTCTCCACTCCATCCTCAAGGATGCAGCTCACTGTCCGAGTCACCACGTAGGCACACCAGTTCCTGCAGGCACAACCCACCTAGGCCTAAGAGCCAGAGACACCCCCCCCCCAGGGGAGGGCTCCGGGGCTCCCAGAGCAGCCGAGGGATGGTCAAGGATGAAGGACCCCCGGGGGCAGTGGGAGCAGGGCTCTGGCGGCGGCGGCAGCTCCCCCCACGCCTTCCTGTGCTGCCAGAGTCGATAAAGACTTTTCAAGACAGGAGAGGAGGCACAAAACGGAAAACCACAACTATGAGCAGTTGATCCTCGTGGCTGGGGAGTGGGTCCCAGGGAGCCTCTGAGTTCACCCATTCATTCATGTCCCTTTTCTGTCTCAGCCTCCAGCTTGGCGTGGCCCTCTGGTGACTCCCCGGATGCCGGCTCCCACCCACCCCTCAGGGGAGAGGACCGGGAAGGCAGGGGTCCAGCTCAGGGGGAAGCAGAGAATAAGCCGTTGACAGGCCCTGTCCCCCTGGGGGTTGCGGTTCTGCACCCTCGGGCCCGTTCATGCTGCCTCCGCTCAGCGTCCGGCTGGAGAGCCGGGAGGAGCAGAGCAAGAGCGGCGTCAGGATCACGGGGGACTGGATGGGACAAGGAAGCCCCAGGAAGAGATGGATGGAAGTCCTGCCGGAGGATCCCAGGCTGGTACGCAGCTGACAGGGAAGCCGGGCCCGTGCCCTTCGGGGCAGCCTCCTTGGGCACCCAACTGCAGGTCCCATGGGGGGGGATGCGGGAGCTGATTCCCCTGAGGTCAGACAAGGGTACCTATCTATTCAGGGGGCCCTGGAAACACCCAGCAAGAAGGTGGGCGTGTGAGGGGTCATCTGATGGATGGGCTTCCTCTCCTCCTCTTCCCTGCCTTGGGGAGGTAGCCAAAGCGGGGCCCCCAATACCCACCTTCTGACCCACCCTCCCGTCTACCTTCAGCCACACGCTTACCTGTGGCGGCTGGCAGGCCGGCGGGCGCTCTGGGCCTGGGGCCCCCCGGGGCTGAGAGCCCCACCGTTTCCTGTGTAGAGGCTGTAACCCCGAGGAGGGTAGCTAGCTGCCCCCACGGCTGTGGTCAGTAGGCAACAGAGGTAGCAGCTCCAGAGGGTCCTGGGGGCCATGGTGGGGGCGCTCCGCTGTGGCCCTCAGAGGCTCATCCCGCCTGACCGCTGGCGCCTCTGCCCGGAGCGGGGATGCTCGCTGCTCCAAGGGTCGAGGGTCGGGTCCTGTCCCCAGCTTCCTGCCGGCAGCAGCCCCCAGCCACACGCCTCCTCCGTGGCCTCCTGGCCTGACCCCTCTCCCCTCCTCTTTCCTCCTCGGGCTCCCGCCTGTCCCTCCCTCGGTTCCTTCCGTTCCCCTCTTCTCCACCTCTGAGGGGAGTTTGTTCTCCGTGCCCCGGCCTCCTGTGCCTGGTCCCTGCCCCTCTCAGACGCGGCTTCCTGGGCACCCCCTCCCACTCGCCCCAGCTGGCCCTCTTCTGGTCTCCTTATCCCTTTTCCCCAGTGACCGGATCCCGGGGATGACAGGACTTTACCCTGTGGCTGTTCAGAGGCGCAAGAGTGGCTGTGCGGGGCGGGCCCTGGCCTCCTGCCTCCCTCTCTTGCTCACTCCCCTCCCTTCCCCCCTGTCTGGCTGGCGGTCCAGCCTCCCCCTTCCTCCCCCCACCTCTCCAACCATCCTGCGCCACATCTGCTTCTTGTTAACTCCGGGAAAGAGAGGGAAAAAAAAGGAAAAACAGAAATGTGGAGTTGCCTCCGGGCTTGGGGCCAGCCTCTCAGACGGGCCACATGGAGTGGAGTCGGGGCCAGGGCTGGGGAGGAGGCCCAGGGCTGGCCGCTTAGACAGGGAACAGGAGCTGGAGCCACAGGTCTCCTGGGGCTGGGGCAGGGCTCCCCTGGGAGGGAGGACCTGAGAGGGGGCCCCAGAAGGGACAGGAAGAGGGAAAGACACAGCTGGACATCACTCGCCATCCAGTCCAGCTCTCTCCTTTCACAGATGTGAAAAATTGAGGCCCAGAGAGGGAAAGTAACTTGTCCAAGGTAACACAGCAGTCAAGAGCAGAGCTGAGATTAGACTCTAAACACCTAGGTCAGTGACTTGGGAGGAAGAAAGGGAATAGGAGAGGGCACTGAGCTAGGGGGAAGAAGGGAAAAGGACTCCTGAGGTCAGCAAGATGTTCAGAGAAGCCAGAAGAGGAAGGAAGGGATCTGGAAACGGGGGAGCAGCTTTCTGTCAAGTATGGCGAGAACAAGCACAAGAGAAGATCCATTCTTTTTTGTGGTTGTTGTTTTTCATCCTCACCCGAGGATGTGTTTATTGATTTTAGAGAGAGGGGAAGGGAGAGAGAGAGAGAGAGAGAAACAATGTGAGAGAGAAACATCAATCGGCAGCCTCCCTTAGATGCCCCAGCACCCTGACCAACTGGGGATCGAACTTGCAACCTAGGTGTGTGCCCTGCTGAGCCACCGGGCCAGGGGGTGGCGGGGAGGGGGAAGAAGAGAGAGAGAGAGAGAGTCTGTCATTCCTAAAAGGCCAAAGGAACAGGGGCCCCAGACTAGTTCTGGCGAGGGGTAGGCCCTGTCCGTGCAGCACAGGAAGTCGCTCCCTAGCCTGAGGCCCGTCTGAGAGCCTCTGTAGCAGGCCAGGCCCCAGTCAGACTCAGCGCTCATCCTGGCCCGTTGGCGCCTCCTGAGATATGGGAGTCCGTCAGCTGGCCCCTCTTCCTCAGCCGGCCCCTCTTCACCAGCTGGCCCTCGGTGTCGGTGTCGTGCTCTGGACTGGGCCCCCCTGGGTGGCGGGGCCCTCAGGAGAGCTCGGCGGAAGCACTGGAAGAGAGTGCCGGGTGCTGCGCGCTGGCGGAGGTGCCCAGGGCAAAGGCACGTTTGTATGAGACTCAGTTCTGGGGAATGGGACACAAGCCCCCAAACAGAGAACCGGCACAAGGCAGGACAGACGGAGCGCCAAGAGGGCCAGACAGATGCATGCGGCCGTTCTGGGGCAGAGGAAGGGAAAGGCAGCTGGCTGCTGGGGGAGGCAGAGAAGAACCCTGGGAAGACGCAGAACCTGAAGAGTGTTGGCGGAAAAGAGCGAAGAACAGAGGGGAGAGGTTTCAGGCTGTGGAAAGTGGTCTGCCTCAGCGTCCTCATCTGTCACGTGGGACTAACAACAGCACCCTCCTTCTGAGGTCTGTGAGGATTAAGTGAATACATGCAAGGCATTTAGAACAGTCCGGCATGTGGGAAGTGCTCAGCGTACGTTAGCTCTTATTTGTGTCGAGAAGAAGTGGCAGAGAAGGCGACTGTGGAAAAACCAGGGAGAGCCTCCGGTGACTGGCTAAGGGCTTGGGCCGCACGGTGCTGAGTAGGGGTCAGCGCACGCACAGAGGGAGGACGCTGTCGGCAAGAGCGATGGGCAGGGCACGAGGATGCCGGTCCCCATGGCCCCTTGGAGCAGTTTGACCACTTTGAGCAAGTCCCGTGACCCCACTGGGGGTCTGTTGGCTAAGGCCCCTTCCAAGTTAGACGTTGCAAAGCGATGCAGACCTGAGAGAGAAGGTTTGGTGACCACCTGGGTAATGAGGGGCCGGAGGGAGGGAGACACCGGAGAAGATTCCAGAGTTCTGGCCAGGGTGGGCGAGCTGAGAGGAGAAGCAGGTCTGGAGAAAGGAAGATGACCTTATTTAAAACATCCAGGCATCTCACTTGATTGTGCTTCACAGATGCTGCCTATTTTTTTACAAATTGAAAATCTTGCAAATTTTAACAAATTTTACTTCTTCCGTCAGCAAAAAGATTATGGCTTGCTTTACTGCGATGCTCGCTTTATTACCATGGTCTGGAACGGAACCTGCAATGTCTCTAAGGTGTGCCTGTACTGAAGTCAGGATGAGATGAACACATCTCAATGGAATTAAATGGCCAGGATATGATTAGAAATGGGGGGTCTTGGCTCTGGGAACCACCTGCAGGGCGATCACTGGAAGCCATGAGGGTGCCACCAAATCTTCAACGTGACTCTGCGTGAGCTGCCTCTGAGGTTCCTCGGCCCGGAATGGGGTCCTGAGGGCGGGCAGGATGTAAGGAACAGGCAGGGTGGTGAGAGTGCGCACTGGAACCGGCAGGAATGGAAGTCTGTGGCCGCCCCTTAGAGGTGCAGCGACCAGCACGCGGGGAGACTTGCAGGAAGTGGTCCTGGGAGACCCCGAATTCAAAGCTGCTGCCAGTGGAAAGTTCAGCTTTCAGCATCAGTTCTAGGCCTGGCCCTGGCAGGAAGCCAACCGCTTCCCCACAGGTTGCCCTGGCTACTGCTGTGGGTTTTCTTTTTCTGCTGGTTCCCCTCTTCTCTCCCCTCAGGGGGCCTCTGGCAACCTGAAGAGTCATCCCAGCCACCTTATCACTGCCCTGCTGTCACCCATTCCTTTGCCTGACACTTTAAGTTTAAAAATCTGTTACGTCTTGCCCTGGCCCAGCTGGATTGAGAGCTGGCCTGCAAACCAAGGGGTCACTGGTTCAGGTCCCAGTGTACGGCCCATGTGCCCCTGGGGGGCATGCAAGAGGCAACCACACATTGATGTTCCTCTGCCTCCCTCCCCTCTCTAAAAGTAAATAAAATCTTTAAAAATAAAAATCTGGTACATTTTAAGTGTGTCAAGTCACACATGTTGGCTTTGAGACACAACTGCAGTAGGTCACACATCCTGTAGTCCTATAATGAGGGGCCATGACCTAGAGACTGACATGCATGTCTGTGAAATCTCAGATGAATCGGTGGCCCTGGGTGCTCTGGGGAGGCCCGGGGTACAGGGCAAGCAGGGTGCAATGGAGACCGCGGTTAGAGAGAATGCAGTGTGGTAGCTGTGGTGCTGGTATTGGCAGATAGCCACGCTTTCCAAAGCAATTGGATTCCAAAGAATTCCTGAGATCAAAATAGGCTGCGTCCGTGGGGCACTAGGACAATATCTCTTTTATAGGCTCTCCAAGGGTCTAGCGCAGAAGGCTATACTAGGAGCTAACTCTGTTCAGTCAACCAGCGGTCCAAGCAGGGAGCTCAGGTGCCCAGGGCCAGGACGACCAGGGGACACCGGCAGTAGGGAATGTTTTATGTCTAACATTGTCTGTCGAAAGACTGAATATTGGGAAGGAAGAAGAGGGAAGTATGAACCGGGTCTTGGGTCATGCAAACCCCGATGGAAATGGAAGCCTGTGGGGACTCCTGGGCACAGGGCCACCCCTCCTCAAACGCACAATTCCCTTTTCCTCCCATCCTCCCTACACACGCAGTCCTGTAGGTGCCAACCGCCCTGGACTCGGGGGCCAGCCCCCTTTTCTCAGGCCTTGTTGCTTTTTCTCTCCTGAGTTTAATCCTGAACTTGTCTTTTGCTTGGAAATGTCACACTAATCACACAGTAACCCCTCCAGACAGGTTTCACCTGTCTCATTTCCCACATACTCTTCCCCCAAGCTTTTGTCAAGTTTTATTAGTTCTTAGCTGAGTCTAGTCTGGTCCTAGAGACCATTTTTTATGTCAGTTCCTCCAGCCACTGGACCAAATGACCCATTCAAGGCTGATATAGTCTCACTGACATAGGCACAGGTAGTTCTGGGAGATGAAGGACATTTCTGGGCAGTTCTAAAATAAATCCTTTTCTTCTTGTCCCTGGCCCAGGATAAGCTACTGAGTCCACAGTCTGACACACAGCATGGAACAGAGAGTCAGGGGACCCTGTCTCGAACCAGTTGTAGAACCTTGGTCAAATCAATGACCTCTGAGCCTCGGTCTCCTTCTTCATAAAATGATCCTGAAGGCGCCCTCAGCTTTGACAGTCTGGGAAACTGGACACCTGGCTCAGCTGGTTTCAGGACAGCCTTGAACATCGGAAGCGCCTCATGCCATCTGCAGTCTAGAGCGTCTGCTTTCCAGGGCCTAGTGCTGTTCCAACAGTAGGACGAAGATCTGGTTGGACTTGAATCTGCTTCAAATTTCCAGGAGACAGGAAGCATAATGTGTGTAATCCTTTAAGACCGTGAAGACCCTCACTCTCCCGGAACAGAGCTTGGAACAGACTGATCACCGAGGGACACCTGAGGAAGTACATTCTGGGGTTTCAAGGTTATGTGGTGGAGACACGGGCTTGGGACTTAAATAGGAAACTTCTGGGAAATGCTGGGTAGGGGCTGGAGGTGAGCGGGGGCGACCAGAGGTACTACAGACTACTACAGGCAGAGACTGAGTTTAGGAGTCACTGGGCTGGAGCATGGAGGACAAATTGCTGATGGTCTCAGGCCACAGAGGGCCACTCTGGGCTAGTGTACCCTAGCTCACTGTACATACAGGCGGCACGTTGGTCCCCTGATCCAGTTGTTCCAGACCCATAGCAGCTCCTGTAGTTTTCTTTGGCTCCAAGAGGCAGAAGCGTCCCCTGAGCCCTGGCCCCCTTTACCGCAAAGCAACTGGCTTCCATTACCCTGACAGCTCCAGAGCAACAGCCCAGCCCAGCCCGGCCCCCAGCCCCCGGCCCCAGCCTGGCTCAGTGCCGTTCCCTTTTATGGCTAAACTGAGGGAGAGCAAGGAGTGAGGGGGAGCAGTTTCTGGCTAGGCAGAGGGTTGTAGAGCCCCAGAGCGCCTCTCCCCTCACTGGAAACCCTCCGACATCTACCCAGTCATCTCTCTTCTTTCTCCTCCTCCGTGACCCATTCTGATCCGACCCCACAACCCTTTCTCCTCTCTCCCCTCCCTAACATCCGGGGGGTGATTTCCCACTTGGCCGAAGTCCCAAAGTTTGGGTTTAGATTTCAGGAGGGTCCGCCCTATTTCCGACGCCTACTTCTCAGAGTGGGGTGGTGAGGAGGAGGCAGGGTAGGGAGGCACTGGTTAAGATCACAGGCAGGATCGGTCAGCTTGTTGGATGTGGGGCAGAAAGACTGGTCTGAGAAGAGCACCCAGTTGCCCCAGCCCTATCTCCATTCTGCACCGCCTCTCATCGCTCTCCTCCCCTGCCGGGGCCAGGGAGGGGACCCTCACGGCAGAGCCCAAAGGAAGCACCTGGTTGGGCCGGGCCGGGAAGCGAAGGGTGGACAGCATCGCGGGGGGTCAGGGCAGGAAGCGGGGTCAGAGTCTAGGGTCAGGCCGGGCCTCTTGAACGGCCTGCCGCCGCACCCTCCCCCTAGCGCACCCCTCGGTCTCCGGGGAGGCGGTCACAGCGCTATTAACCACTTCCCCAGCTGCGCCAGCCGCGGCCAGCTGCGACCAGCTGTGCCTTGCGCCCCGACGCGTGGTGTGTCTGCGCAGCCCCACCCGAGACCCCGCCCCCTGTGAGAGCGCAGGAGGGAGCAGGCGAGATAGGCAGGGCTAGAGAGACCTATCACTCTGCGCCACACAGCCGGAAGTGCCTGGCCCGGGACAGAGCTGGTGCAACAAACTTCCGGTTCTGGTCTCCTACTTCGAGCTAGGGCGCAGACCGCGTCAAAACCAAGCCCCAGCTGGTCAGGTGAGAAGCACGCAGGCGCGGCCCACGGCCCATTTGGTGCTGGCTGGGCCGGGGAGGTGAGGACGGGTCCGGTCGGAGGCTCAGTCCGTCCTTTTCTCTGCAGGATGATTACAGACGTGCAGCTCGCCATTTTCGCCAACATGCTGGGCGTGTCACTCTTCTTGCTTGTCGTTCTCTATCACTACGTGGCCGTCAACAATCCCAAGAAGCAGGAATGAAAGTGGCGCTTTCTCCGCCCCAGGTAACTGTCCGGGGCTGTAGCGCCCAGCCCCTGGAGAGTGGAGTGGCGAGGCCTTGCCAGGGCATACAGGGATCGAAACTTCAAGTCAGAAAGTGTTGGGCCACGCACGATACAATCCAGAACCGGGCCTCTGTATCTGCGCAGGGAAGGGCGAGCTTTGCACGGCCCTGCCCCTCGCCCTTACACTGTCCCCCTGCTAGAATGGGGGTAGGTTCCCTAATTCCCCTCAGTCCCAACTTCAGGTGGTCCCCGGACGCCCTAGTTGGGGGAGTGAGTACAAGGAGGCCCTGACACCGCTAGGAATCAAGAACTGAGGATGCCACTCACGAGTGAGCATTTGAGCTCTTCACTTAAATAGTCCTCACTTTTCCAAGGTTATTTAGACTTATGTTTAGGCAGATATTTTTGTGTGTGAGGGATTGTAAAGATACAGAATTCTTGTTCCATGTTCTGGGGCAAGGGGCGCTGAGTAGGGATCGGCGACTGTAGACTCAAGTCCTAGAGCGGGGGTCGGGGGGGGGGGTGCGGCTGGAGGGCTTGTAAACAAGCCTTAGGTGTGGGTCAGAGTGTAAAGCGGCGAGAGGCTGGATGGGCGTGGATTCCTGAAGGATCTCCCCAGGGGAACGCTGCAGCGTTTTCCTTACCTCGGGTCTTTCCCCCTCTTTTCTAGGGTTCCAGGAAATAGTCTGAGGCAAGATGGAGGGTGTGAGGGGCCTTCACACTTCACTTCATCCCTTCTACCCAGCACAACATGTAAAGCAACTACACCTGGATTTTTCCAAACAACTTTTATTTCCTCAAAGTCTTCCTTAACCCTATGGAACAAGAAGCTGCCACTGAGTAGGGCCCAGTATAGGGGCTTTCTTTTCTACTCCCTCCCCCCCCGATATAAAAATATAGATTTTTTGTGGTCCCAAAGTCTTGTGCTGTTGAGGGAGGGAAGGGGTGGCATGTTCCCTGCTGTGTCCTGTCTCAAGGTGACGCTCTGCGATGCCTCAGGACAGTGTGGCTGGCATTCCCAGGAGCTGCCGTTGTCCCATGGAATCAGCAGCTGAGGGAGGGGACTAGCACATTTCTCACTGTGTCCCCCATCTTGTGGCTGTGTCCTGGGCATGAAGGTCAAGGCATCAGATCCGGGGAGAAACAGTGAGTGGGGGAGATTTAGGGGCAAAACAAACTTCAGGGTGGCCCAAGGGCCCCCCGCTGTAACAAGTCCGAGGCTGGGAGTCAGAGGGACTGCAGGAAGTAGGAGAGAAGGCAGGGGCAGAGTGGGGCCGCGGGGGCCCGGCCCGAGGCAGCCTGCAACAGAGAAGAGAGGAGTCAGGTTGGGAGGCTGCCCTTCTCCTGGTGTGGCGGCCAGGGGCTGGGAACGAGAGCGGCGCGGAGGGTAAGGACAGGCCGGGTGACTGCTGCCCGGTGTTCTGATGCTGGAGCCGGCAAGCTCCTGGGCTTTAGTCCCTAACGGCTGTTTTCTTGTACACTGGAGTGGAGACTGAGGCCGTGATGGGGGGAGGGATCAGGGAGCTAGATTTTAAAAGGACATTTAGTCTTGTTGGGGTCAAAGGGAGTAGGGAAGGAAGATGATGATTCTGAATGGCAGAAATGAGAATGAAGGGTAAAAAAAAAGGTGGGGTGAGGGGTGAGGGAATGGACCCTCGGGCTCACCCTGGTGCCGACTGGGGTCCTGGCTCTGGCTTACTGCTCTCCCTGGTCCGGGGGGTAGGGGATGTGGGGCCCGAAGAGCCTCTCATCCCTCTGCGAGTCGGCGGTGAGCCCCGGCCCAGCCTGGGCCTAGCCTGTAGATAGGGGATGGGCTAAGAGGCTGGGTTCTTCCATGAATATTTTTGCTTCTAGAGTTTCCATGAGTGAGGGTATGGTATAGCGGTCAGCACAGGTACTGGGCCTTGAATTCCTGGGCACTGCCCCTAGCTGTGAGGGTAAGGCAGGATACTAAGACTCTAGGGTTCAATCTGTAATAACTATATGTTGAGTCTTATTTAACTAGGGGAGGCAAAAGGATCTGCCGTTTAACCTCCGTGGCCACACTACGGCCAGGATCTGGCTGAGTAGAGCAGTACTGTGTAGAAAGACGTTGGGGGAGTGGTGGGTCTTCGTTAGGGCCTTCTGTGCCTCGGCCTGGCCAGGGCAGCTTAGTGCTTCACCCATCATCCAGTCACCTTTTGCCTGTTCCCAACTTTAGCCAACCTAACACAGGGATCGGGACTGAATCAGAGTTGGTGGCACAGCTGTTCCTAGGAGCAACAACCAGATGTGTTACCTGGGGAATCCGGGACCCCTCCTGGCGGTAACTCTCCTCGGGCAGGTCTGGGCAGAAAGAGAGGAGAAGCTAAGGGCAGGGGCAGACGAAGCCAAAACTAGCAGGCTGAGGTTGGGGTATATCCAGCAGGAACATGGGTTGGAAGCAAGCAAGAGACCTGGCTGAAGGACACGGGAACACTGGACAGACAGGCACTCAGACACCAGAGCAGCTCTGATATGGGTGGGGACAGGTAAAGCAGTGCTAGGCCTTCTCCCACCTGCTACCCCGCCGAACAGGTCCTCGCTGGGCTCTGCCAATGCTGTTATGCTGCGGGCGGGGGAAGACCTGACGACGTTACCTGCATCCGGGTCCTGATACAGGGGATCCGAGGTCCAGTTCCTAGTAGACTTTTCCCAATCACCATGACAGTCTCTGGCTTGTCCCCTGAGGACAGGAATGAGCAGCTGTTTCCTAGGGAACAAAGAAAACTGATTATCAGCCCTGCCTGGTATGGCTCAATGGATTTGGTGCCAGCCTGCAAACCAAAGGGTTGTGGGTTTGATTCCTAGTCTAGGGCATGTGCCTGGGTTGCAGGCTAGCTCCCCAGTAGGGGATGTGCAAGAGGTAACCACATATTGATGTTTCCCTCTCCCCTTCTCCTCTATAAAAATAACTAAATAAAATCTTTTGAAAAGAAAGAAAAGCAAACTGATACCAGGCAGGGACCATAGAGAAGCAGCGGTAACTTCCTTTAGATCAAGGTTTCTCAATATTGGCAACATTGACATTTTGTGCCGTTGTGGGGTATTTAGCAGCATCCCTGGCCTCTACCCCTTCCCTGTTTGTAACAAATCAAAAATGTCTCCGGACATGACCAAATGGAGTGGTTCTCCTTGGTGGAGAAGCTTGGTATGCTCTAGTCTGGTCCGAGGGGTGCAGCAACAAATCAGAGCGTGCGTCAGCACTCACTCAGACTAAACTATGAATCTATAGACCTCAGAGCCTGTTCCAATCAGATGTGTGAGCATTTCAAGATCAAGTCGGCAGTACCCACAACAGGCGGGTTGAGGGCTGCCCAGTGACGAGAATTAACGGACTAGGAGCAGCAGGCTCTGAGGGAAGTACGAGATGCTGGACTGGAGTCTCAGAAATCATCCTCATCCAGTCGCTTATACAGCTGGGACATAATGAAATGAGAGCAGGCGGCCGGGCTTTGTGTGGACAATATGGTCGCACGTGTGCAGTGACGATGGGAAAAGCCTATGCTTGCTTTCACGCTGCAGTGTGTCGGTGTTGCCCAGCTCTCGCAGTCAGGGAGCTGCAATAAGGTAAGAAAAATCCTGAGGTTTCTCAACTGTAAAAGTGGGAATTAACTGAGAGGGCATGCTTAGAGCAGTCCCTGCCATAGAGTAAATGCTCAGTAAATGGTAACTGTTATTATACCAAGACATTCATTAAATTCCAGCTTCCTGTACCAGGGCGTGGGTGGCCGGGGTTTAGGATAATCTGGTAAGATAACTGATGCCCCTAGTCTGGAGTGGCCTCTGTTACATCAAGTCGAGGAGGAGGACCAGGTCAGGTGGTGATGAAGCTGCAGGGGTTTCCTCAGGCCTGGTCAGGAGCCTGCTCCACGCCCTGCGTGGTAAGGAAGGACGCTGACCAACCTGGATCTGAGTGGGCACCAACCTGATATGCTGAGTGAGTTGGGCAGTAGGCAGGAGCCCATGTTGCGTGAGGAGGCTGGGCCAGAACTGGGTGGAGTTGGGGACGGGGCCAGGCTGCTTGAAGTCTGGCGATGTGCTTGTGGCTGCTGTCGCTGTCTCCTGTCCTGGTTTCGGGGCTCTGCGTGGAAGGGACACAAGCAGATAAAAGGACAAATAAGTGAGGCACTGTCACTCCACTGCCCCGCTAGCTGTCCTTGGTCAGAAGAGGCCTGTCGTCGAGCCTGTCATCACACCGGCACCCCTTGTCTGAAGTGTATCTGAGATGAGTGGAAAGACCTCTGATACCTACTGCAGTTACCCAGGTCTGGGCCAGCCCTCATGTGCCGCTTCACCGCTCTGGAGATAACGAGCTCACCCAGCAGTTCGTTCTTCTTGGCTTCCTAGGCTCTCCTCCTCCCTCCAACGGCTCCTCTTCAACTACCCTTCTGCCCCTGAGCTGGCGGCGGCTGCCCACTACTCATTTGCTCCTTGGTCCTCTCCTGCTGAGCACACCGTCACCTCCCAAGTCTCCCTCTAGCCCGTTCTCCCGAACTGCAGCTCTAAGGGTCCACTGGACAGTTCTGCCTGGCCACCTTTCACGACCCAAACAAAACCCATTTTCTCCCCCCATCCTTTTGTTCTATGTTCATGAAGAATCTGCTGGAAACGTCGCTTCATCTTTCAACTCTTCCCTCACGCTGAGATTTGTGTTTAACCCAGTCAACAGTCCTGCCTCTGCCTTCATTTGAATTCCCTCTTTATTCTCCCCTGCCATTGACAGTGTCCAGACACAGGTCTTTCGTTAATTCAGGCTTTTGAAAAAAATTCCCCATCAGTCTCTTCCCTTTTACAAGCCATCCTTTGCACAGGTGCTGGAAATTGTTACTCTGAAACACAGACCTGACCCAAAAAAAGTCCTGTTGGCTCAGACATGGGGGAGATAATGAAGATCTGTTACAGGACAGAGTCTAAACCTTTGCACATAGCATTCACATCCTGCTCACTGCGATTCCAGTCTGCACGTCCGCAGTGGGCTGCCGAGCGGTCCTGCACGCCCTCCGCTACAACCTCTGGGGCTGCTAGCCGTGAGGCTCCTCTGCAATGTCTGTTTCCTCCTGGACAGCGTCCCATCTCAAATGTCACCTCTGTGAGGTCTCCTTGACCAGTACAGGTAGGGTGCATTGTTCTCTCTTCATTGTTCTTTGTTTACCTGGCTAGTAGTTGTTTACGGTTTCTGTCTTCTTAATTAAATTAGTACATGTAAAAGACTTAAAATAGTACCTGGCATATACCAAGTACTCAATAAATGTTTGCCAATATTCTAATTAGAATTTGAGTCTAACACTGTGTATCCCAGTGCCTGTTGGACAAAGACCTTGAGTGTTTTGTTTACTAAAGCGCAGACACCCACTGTAGACCACGCACTGGCTCAGTCCTCGGCCCAGGGCCTGTGGTTATGCCCCCCGGGCAGAAGCGGTGACTAGATGGGGAGGAAGGCTTTCGGGTTTGGCGGGTCCTTCCTCAGCACAGAGGGGTGGCCGGTGCCAAATGCTCCCGAACTGAATGAGCTATTAGCATTCATGGAGCTGAATTCGATGGAAGTGTCAGGATGCCAGCTGACACCTGATGAAGCAACATATGTCACATGTGAAAAGCCTTAAGAAGTAGGTGACAGTAACTTCATCTTGTCTAGCTACACTGAGCAGTAACTGGCAGTAATAAGGCAACTTCTGGGAGGTCCCAAAAATTAAAAAAAAAATGATACTTACATGAATAAGGACTAGAAGAAAGGGAGAGATCTGAAGATGGAAGTTACTCTAACTTTGAGTTTGCTGAGATGCTGGGTACCAGTTAGTGTCTAAGACTACAGCCAAGGTTCAGAACAGCCAGAACTTAGGGGGCCAGTAAGAGCTGGTACAGCAATGCCAGTAAGACAACAGAAGTCAGAGAAGCAAGCCCACAGTCAGGTAACCCGAAACGTTACCCACCACCAATGACTTGGGGATGCTGTCGAACCCAGGCCTGGGCCGTTCTTTGGGTAAGACGGATGTCACCGTGATGTCCAAGGGACGGTACACAGCAGGCAGAAGCAATGAACTTGGTAAAGGGGGAAACAGCAGGTTTCCAGATGGCCTGAGAAACCTCCATACACAGAAGCACATTGAAAATATACTAAGGGGTGAAGCCTCGCCTGTCCCAAGGAAGGATGAGAAAGAACAAGCAAGGATGGGTGAAAGCCTTTGGGACTTGTAGGGTCTCACAAGAAACTGTGTGATACCCAAGAAGGTATGAAGCTAAACAAGCAAATGATGTAAAAAAAAGTGTGAAATGTAGGGATCATGGGAAAGATACTAAGGCTACAACTCAGGAGTCCCGCCCCTAAGGAGTTTCAGGATAGAAGACAAGGTCTGGTTTAGGGGAGAAGCCTGACTGGGAAAGTGGAAGGCATTTAAAGATAGCATTTCAAGTAATAACAGACTCTCTCGAGACCTGACCAGGCCTGCCTGTGAACTTGGCAATGTGAGCACACAGCCGTTTCTCGAGTTTTGGCTTTTGGCCTACTTAGTCCCCTCAGAGACAAGAATTAAAGGGAGGAGCCCCAACCCGGTTGTTTCTTGGTCCCGAGTGGTAGAAACAGTGGTTTAAGAGTGACACATGATTAGCTCTGTTTCCAGCGGTTGTGAGGTGATGTATTTTATTTATTTTTAGAGAGAGGGGAAGGGAGGGAGGGAGAAATGAAGAAAAACCTCGATGCAGGTGAGAAACATCAATTCGTTGCCTCTCACATGCTCCCAGCTGGGGACCCAGCCTGCAGCCCAGGCACGTGCCCTGACCGGGAACCGAACCGGCCTCCTTTCTGTTTGCAGGCCGCAGCCACGGCGGCCAGGGCGTGAGGTGATGTTTTATGGTAACCAGCTGTGGGTTCTACTTTGGAATGTCAGGGTAGTCCTGAGAGGAAGAGCTAGACTGACCTCAGCACTGTATGAACCAGAGTGGGTGTTCTAAGGTCTCAGATGAACAGGGGCAGGTGTATGACTTGTGCCTAGGTCCTGCGTCATCCCCCCAGACACCCTGGGAACTCTCCCGAGGTGCAGCAGCCCACATCTTACTGAACCCCCGGGATGACTGCAGACCTGATGCATGCCCCCCCCAAGGGGTGGGAGGGTGAGACAAGCATTCATTCACCTCCCAGCTTGTTGCCTTTTATTTGTTCAGCAAATATCTGTTGATCATGCAGTGCCAGGCACAGTGCTAGGTGGTGAGGGAATAGATGGATGTGCCAGGAGACGTCTCCTGCCATCGAGTAGGTTTGGCTGTGCTGTTTAGCACGAAGCTTTTGTTTGCAGTGGACAGAGTAGAAGTGGTGACAGTGGAGAGGCCCTCTTCCTGTGTCCTTTGACTCACTTCTTGAAGGACCTCCACCCACCATTGGACTTGAGCTTCTCTACCAAACGCTATCAGCTGAGCTCAGATATCACCGAGCTCAGAGGCTGGGAAACGGTTCTCGTAACCTCAGGTGTAAGCGCCAGAGCTGGGAGGAGTGAGAGTCGCGGTGACAGGACGGCAGCTGAAGACTTCAGCGTTAAGTCCCTGGTCTTCTACCCCAGTATCACACCGGGTGGCTTTGAGGGCCAGGGCATATGTTTCAGTTTTTAAGACTGCTCCTTGAACCCAGGGCTAGGACTAATCTGGATTAAGTAAGGCATCTAGGGTGCACAACGTAAGGAGGCCCTTGCCTGAGCCTGAGAGCATGTGCCTTCTTAGACTGTGTGTTCTGGGCATCTCACTGCCCCTGCGCCACCCCCCCACCCCCAGTCCTTGCCCTGTTTTCGTCAGTACATAACCAGTAAGAGGTGCCGGTTTACCTCGCCGCCCTCCCCCAGTCCTCCTCTGAGCTCTGTTTGCACCCGCTATCGCTCCGGTATCCTGCAGACTTTTGACTGCCTCACTCCATCACTGCGTTAGGTACTTCCCAGTGACCTTCCCTCCTCCTCCTCCGCAGCAGCTGCTGCTAATGCCGTCTTTGCTTCTGAGCCAGTGCATGGGAACTTGACCACAGGTCTGGGAAGGCAGTGCTCACAGCCTCTTTGGCAGCAGGGGAGGAGGAGGTAAAGAGGGTCCTGGCACTGTGGTCAGGGGCGCCAAGAGTCCAGGCTTCCTCAGAGTCCTCCAGCCTTCTGCCCCGGGAACATTCCTGTTCGCCGCAAGTTGGCTACTAGACCCCTGAACCTCTGCCTTAAGCTTCTGACTGGGCTGCCTAGATCTTTCCTGAAATTCCCTGGATAGCCCAATCTCACGTTTTGTTCTAGCCAATAAAGGATAGTCACTAATTAAATGTATAAACGTGATACAACTTTGTATACATTAGTGGAAATTTCCTTCTAAATAACTTCACAAGACAAAAAAAATCCTTTATCAAATTGCAATCCCATTTTGGGGTTTGGAAAGCATAGCTGCTTTATAGTTAGACCTCAGGGGCGTGTTCTTCCTGTCTCGGAACACCGAGTGTGTTCCAAGTGTGTCTAGATGAGGCAGAGGCCAAGGAGCCAGATGTGCGCACCAAGGAAATGTCCCGAAGCTATACTACAGACACGTCACACTAGACAGAGAAGTTGTTCCAAGGGCCCAAGACGCCAAGTCCAGACACCACGGTTTGCGTCCCTGTCCCGAGCCAGGGCAGGCTCCCGTCCTGGAGTCGGAGCAGGGACTTGAGACGAAGCAGCAGAACCGCAGCACCGGCAAATGCCCAAGAGAACACAGGAGGCGAAATTCCCAGGACCTGACCTTTCACTCCTCAGATTCCTGGTTTGGTACTGTTAGCAAGCCTCTTGACCCCTCTACTTTACAGACATAGTTTTTTCAGTTCTTACAAATATTTACTCAAGCCCCTGGGATGTCTCTTTACTCAAACCAGCTCTCTGTTCTGGCTTCTAAGCTCATTCACCCTGGGGAACACAGCTTCTCCCTTGGCTTTACCTGCACCTGTGTGTGGGGGACTCCTAGGTCCCACCCAACGTCACCGTTCGCACAGCTTGGCCCTTCTCTGCCTGCAGAGCGTCTCCACATAGACAGTCCGGGCTGTCCACGCAGGTCTGCGGGAGACGGAGTCACAGTGATAGGATTTTCCTCCCAGCAATGCCCTGCGTCACCATGGTCTTCTGTCTGAGCTGGCAGCCCCGAAGCTGAGTTTGTGTCTCTTCCCGCATCACTGAGCCCTGCCACTTCCGTTTCTAATACATGTGTTCGCCTCTCCTTGCCCAGCCCTGGGACAGGCGCCGGTCTTCTCGTGTATAAACCCCTCCGAGGGTGCCGCCTCTGCTTCCCTGCCCGGTATGTACGGTTCAGACGGCTCTTTTCACGTCTTTCCTTTATCACAACTCTCTTGTTCCCATCATCCTCAGAAGCACATCTGTCTTGTTAACTCATAGTCATTGTCTTCAAGACATGTCTTCTTCCTCCCACCTCTTTTCACCTGACCTCCGCAGGAAAGGGCCTGGCCCCCGAGCCAGCGAGTACGCTTTTTGCCCTCTCTGCAGAGCAGCGCCGGTCCTGGCTGTCTGTCTCGTCTCTGGAATGTTTTTGTCAAACCACAGACCGCCACACATTCGTCAAAGTCATTTCTCAACTAAACATTTTTCGGCTAATTGCTCTTGTGTTTATCTGTGACAGAGGCTTCCCGAGTCCCCTGAATGTTTATAATGTGTGTGTGCTTCTATGTTGTGTTCGCTGTCCTCTATATCCTATTAAATTTCAAATCAGCCAACTAGGAATCACTTTGTACTGACTATGCCTATTTTCTGTTAGTTGGGGAAGTAACAGAAACACAGTTCACGTCCCTCACTCAAGGAGCTTAATACAGCGCTCTGCATTGGGAGGGAGACAGGGAGGGTGTTCAGAACTGCCCGGAATCCTCCAGTGAGGACCCAGAGCAGGCTCTTTCCTCCTTCCCTTTTGTAGGAAGGGAGGGAGAGTTTACAGTGCTGATATTCCTTCCCAAGAACTATGAGTTAGGAGGAAAAGAAATGAGAAGGAAAAAAAAACTTTATCCAGATTTAAGATGGGAAACTCGGGTATACCAGGGCATGAAAAACCTACATGTGAACAACCCTGCCACTCAACAGCTGTGCAGCCTTAGACACGGCACCATCAAACAGCCTCCGTTTCCTCACTGAGAAAGACACCAACACCGTTCAACCCACAGGGTCCTCGTGAGGGTTAAAGGAAATATATGTGATGCTGTTTTGTTCACTGTTTAGTGTTACTTAAATATAAGGCACTATTATCACTTCACTGCTCCTTCAAGCACAGTAGGCGAAAGTGCCCTTTTCCAGTGAAGACACACTCTCAAGGAGTGGGGCCCAGAACAGAAGCCGAGGTAACTACGGTGCAGGTTGCAGGTCGAACATTGCACTGGTCAAAGCTGGGAAGGACCGCTGGCTCTCTCCTCTGTGGCCGCTCTAACTAGTGCCTGTTGCTGGTGTGCACCCAAAGCTGAGGCGCAGGAAGTGCTAGCAAGGACGAGTGCAGCTTGGAGACCAGGAAAACGTAACACTTTACAAGCCTCCGTGCTCTGGCAAGGCTTCCGTGCTCTGGCAAGGCTTCCGCGGCCCTTAAGCTGCAGACAACGCTGACCTGTGGTTCCATGTGCTTCCACAGGTGGCGCTGCTCCAGCCTCGCCCCCAACGGCCGAGAAATGGCTCCATAGTCCTTTTCTCCTCTTTCCCTAAAGGACCCTCTGTTTCTGGAATACACTGTGACCCAGAATCTCTTGTCTTATCAGGCAGGGTCTCATGAGGCCAAACTAGGGCTACTGATGCCAGGCTGAGCAATTGTGGCCACTGTTGGAAGAGGCTAGCCTGGTGCATTTAAGCCTCCAACAGAATCCGTCTGTAGTTCCCTTTTTCTTTGGAAAAGTTGGAGTCCTTTTCGTAACACTTTCTGAGCAGGCTCTGAAGCCAGGAACAATTTTGGCTCATAGGACCTGGGATAGGATTCTCCGCCCTTCTACACTGCTGTAGTTTGGGCTGTGAGGGCATTCCTTACGCTTCCTCCCACAAGACGGCCTGACACTGTCGTGGAAGTGGGGACTCCACGTCTCAACGGGCCCTGCTTCCCCTAGTGGTTTACACTTAGAAGCTCCCGTCTCCCAACACGTGCTGGAGCGCAGACACCCAGGACACCCGCCTGTGCCGCACACAACACGGCTCTGGAGCTCGTGCCGCAGGAAACACCAAGGTCGCAGGAGAGGCTGCAGATTCTGCTACAAACTAATTTTATTGATTCACTCCTTGGCACCAGTCCAAGTGTGTATCTTGACGCTCTCACTGCCCCCAACAATGCCCCAAACAACTGAACACCTGTCGCAGGGGCTCCCAGACTAGCTTACCTCTCACGGGGCCCAGCACCCGGTGGCTGACCTTTTGGGTGCTAGAGCCCAGGCCTGGCAGCCCCGCAGACCGGCTGCCATGAAAAGGAAAGCTGGGGGAGTTCTTCATCTGTGGAGAGTTTTGCTGGCTGCTGCTGCTCCCGCCAGCACTTGTGCCAGTGCTAAAACTGCGCCCTCGGCTCAGCGTGTTTTCAGAGCAGGAAACAGGCAACCCGCTGCAAAGAAGCACGTGGGAGTTCACTGTGGGCCGGGGTTGCGTCCCAAGTCTCTCCCCGTGGTCTGGTGCTCAGTAAACCTTCACCTCTGGCGTGAAAAGGCACAGAAACTCATTCCATGGGAGAAGGGAAGAGTTCTTATGATGCCTGAGGTCTCTAACCTGGGCACACCCACTGAGCTCAAGAATGCCTAGGAACCCTTGTTCATATATATACATGCTCCTGCAGAAAACACCAAGAGCCAGAGGGCCATTCCTGGGCTGCTTCAACTCCCAGGAGATTCCTCCCTCATTGCCTTGGTGAGGGCCTTCGGAGCCCTTAGCCAGGCATTCATGACAGCCAGAGGCCAAGCACCCCTCTCCCCACCCCCCACGACTTCGTGCAGGGCTCTGGAGCACGGAGACCCCTAGCCTGGCTTCAGGTATCTGGGAAGTGTGAAGTCTGTCCGGAAAAAGGCCAACGTCCCTACCCAATTTAATTTTCTCTCTTACATCTCTCAATTAACCACATGGCATAGAGTTTTAAAGATAAAAAGATATACAGAGAGAGTTACCTATATATTTAATATACAAGGTCTGTCCAGAAAAAGTCCAGCCATTGTTAATCTAATGAGAACAGTTTGCATGACATTGATGTAGCCTGGCAGCCAAGGAGAGTGGACTGGAATGCGCATGTGTGAACAATGACGACTTCACTGCACTAGTCAGTGGGGGCAGTAGGTACCATTGAGTGAGCTTGTGTACTGTGTGGCCGTCACATTCAAAATGACTGAGTAGAGCAAAGAGTCTGCATCAAATTTTGTGTTAAGCTCTAACGCTTCTCTGTGCAAGCTATTTGGATGATTCAGAAGGTCAAAGCTGTGGACACCTGGCAATTGGCAGCTTCATCACAACAATGTACCCACTCATGTGTAAAGCTTTGTGCATTTTTGTGTGTGTGTGTGAAACATCAAATCACCCAGGTGACTCAGCACCCCCTACGGCACCCTGTGACTTCTGGCTTTTCCCAAACTAAAATACCTTTGAAATGGGAGAGATTTCAGACTATCGATGAGATACAGGAAAATATGACGGGGGAGGTAATGGCGACTGGAGAACTGTGTGAGGTCCCAAGGTGCCTACTTTGAAGGGGACTGAGGTGTCATTGTCCCATGTACAGCGTTTCTTGTATCTTTTTTAAAAAATGCCTACTTTTCAGCTTACATGGCTGGATACTGTCTAGACAGACCTCGTACATAGTTCAAAATAAAAGGGAAGAGGATCCCGTTTTCAAAAAATGAACGAATCTTACTAATTTTAACCTACTCTGAAAATATGTGGTCCTTTTGGAAGTGGGAAAGGAACACAAATCCCTGGGAGTTCCTTGCCCTGGAGCCCTGCTCCACTCTCACGCCCTTCCCCCCTTCCGCCCTGCTGGTCTTACTTGTTGGCTTTGGGCGGAGTTCGAGAGCCTCTCTTCTTGACACCCACGTTCACAGTGCTGCTCAGGCCCCGAATGCCGCGCACATGTTTCAGCATCCAGGCCCGGAGGTTCGTGAGGCTGCTGTGCTCCGAAAGCACGATGCGGGGCCACGGGTTGCACTCTGCCATGTCCAAAGCCGCAATGGCCATCGCTCGTCCCACCTGTGGGGGTTGCTCGGCTCAACGTCTTGGTCTTCCAACCAAGGCCGCGGTGTTGGGGAGGCGGTGCACAGCACAGTGGAAGGGAAGGAGGCCAGACCTCCTATTTGTCCCATGGGTACTCTTAACTTTTACGCTCAGGCTAGGCTGTTCATCACAAGTGGATTTAGAGTCACTTCCTCGTCACTGTTCACTTGGGGGCCCTCATCCATTATAATCTGGGACAGGTGTGCTTTCTGGCGGGCGCCAGGAAGCTGTCCCAGCAGAAACCACTTGGATCTTTCCTATAACCCGCAGCTCTTTCTACTCCTCTCGTGTGCCCTAGGACACCAGGGACCACCAAGATCACTGTAGAGGGGGTGATTTTAGCCAGGAGTGAACTAATCCATATTAGGAAGACAAGCTCAGAGGCCAAGAACCTGACTTAGACATACTAGGGGGTTCTCTGTGCTGGGGGGCGCCGGCGTCAGGAAGAGTGCCACTAGCACCACCCTCTGAGTACTAGTGCAGTCAGGGGCCTGCTCTGTTAGCTGAGAAAATAACCACTGCGGCGAGAGGGCGACAGTGGCGAGCCTCTCTCCAGGGGACATGAGTCAGGCAGCAGGCACAAAGGCTTTCCCAGACTCTGAGGGTCTCCTCTTCCCCATCTATCCCACGTGCTCATACCTGCTCAAACAACTCCATCGTGTATCTGGAGGGGAAGGCCGGCGGGGGCGGGGGGCTGGCACGACCGTTGTCATGGCAGGCGGGAGGGATGCTGTTTACTGAGCGTCCAGTGTTGTAGTTGCATTCGAGTGTGTAGCTAGGACACAGAGACCCTTATCAGTGTCCTACCTGGGCAGAATCAGGACAGAGCTACGGGGGACAGCCTATGTGGTCTAAAAAGGACAAAAACAGGAAGTCCTAATTTCTAACGACCAGCAACTGATCTCAGCACTGTATTACACACCCGAGAAAGTCCCCAAAAGGCGGAGTCCCAGACTAACACCAATAATGCTAATTGCGGGCCTGCCTTTGGAGAAGACTTGGGTCGTTCCCTGCCCCTCAAACCCCCTGGACTGGGTATTGCTTTCTTTAGGGAAGTGATTTCAACAACCGTATCTGAGTTTCCTTCCAACCTGTGGACTATCCCTGAGGCTTTGTAGATCGCAACCCGGCCACTTCCCTCCTTAGACTGGCCGTCTCTGCGGTCTCGGGCATACATGTTCTTCTCTGAGAAATTGCAGCCCTGGAAGTCGAAGTGGGCTGAGTTCAAGGAGATGAGCTTTGGATACAGCATATTTTCCACCTGTTTGGGGGAGGAAAAGAGGAACTGAGAAGAAACAGAGAAAGAAGGGACAAGGGCAAGGAAGAGATGGCAAGCATGGGGCCATGTGACTTAGATACCTTCACAACCATCAGCAGTAGAAGCGTTTCTTGAGTTTTCACGGAATGTTTGACATTATTTCCAGGTGTTGGAAAGGTGCAATTCTACCTCTTTTTAAGCTCTGAGCTTCTTCTCTCCAATAATGCAAAATTTTCCTTCTCCCCTGGTTTCCCAAACTCTAGAAAAGACTACGATGCCGACAGCGTGACACTCTTGCAAGGTCATGGTGTAATTGGCCCCAGTGCCATCCCTTCTTGGCCCTTTGTGGCTTGTTCAGAAGTCGTCCACCTTTTGCGGCCACAGGCCTTCCTGCCAGAAGGTCACCTTCCCTCTGTTCACGGCCTAACCTTTATCTCCCAACCTGCGACACTCCCCACCCTCACCCTCAAGTCTGCGGGCTCCTACCTGGGTGCTCTCATCACTGAAGCTGTTCCCATACATGAAGCAGCCCCTCTTGGAAGCGTGTCCGTGCAGGTCCACATAGTAAGCGACCCCACTCTCTGTGGGGGGGATGGTGTCGGGGGCTGGCTGCTCAGCCCCAGTGGACCGTTGCGGCATGATCCACACGCTGTGCTCCTTCTCTTCTGCTGGCTCAGTCTGCGTCCAGGCTTCAGGACGATCCCCATTGGATGACTGCCCAAGGTGAGCCTCGTTTTGGAGATTGTTGGCTTTCTCGAGGTCAGAAAGGGGAGCTGCCGGGGGGAGAGGAGGACTGTGCTCTTGCCCAGAGGGACCCTGGGAGTTCAGGCGGGAGTGCACGTGGTGGTAGAGAAGCACCGCTTTCGCCCCGTAGATGGCCGGGTGCAGGGCCGCATCGGGCTTCAGGTACTGGCGATTCAGATTCACTCCACGCGAGTCTGTGCTGTGGGGAGACAAGGAGCTCAGAGCTGGTTTCCCTGCGGCAGGGTCCCGAGGGCTGCACAGCGAGGGAGACACTAGCGTAGGTGGAAGGGACACTCTGGGAGGCAGTACACAATGAGAGGCGGGAGCGGCTTCAGGAAAGAAAGAACCGAGGACAGGCCCTCTCCTCGCGCGGCCACCACATCTGCACCGAAGCCTAAGGAGAGCTCCCGGGTGCACCTGCGGCTATGCTAGCTCTGCCCCGCCCGGAGCGTGCCACTAGATGGAACCCCACTCCTTCTCGGGTCCCTGGACAGTTACACGGGCTTGCTCCTGTTGGGGTGCAAGAGGGCTGGGGACACAGGAGGAGGTAGATGACAGGCTGACAGTACTGAGATGTAGGGCATGAGGGACACCGGACCAGCCCAGAGAGATTGGGGAGGCTTCTCACCGGTAGTGGCCCCGGACGACACCATCAGGGTTCAACATGGGAATCAGCTTAAAGACAAAGAGGCGACGTAGGGTTTGGGCCCGGGGATCATCAGGCCGAAGGATGAAGTCCAGAAAGCCATTGAAGACAAAGCTAGATGGCGTCTCCCCAGGGTGCACCCTGCTGCTCAGGAAGAATACCTGACCGGAGAAGAGAGCAGTCATTAGGTCAGTCACACTTCGGTTCCACCAGAACTGTGCCGAGGGCGGGGGCAGGGGGTGGGATGAGGCCGGAATAGCAGCCACTGGATTTCCAGCTGGCTGAGTTGGTAAAGTGGAGTGGCAGCTGTCGCACTTGTCCCAGGACGCAGGCAGAGGCTGTGTCTAAGACGCCTAGAGATGACGAGGCCTTAAGCTATCAACAGTGCCCAGACTGGGGACAGGTCAGGGTCCTGCCTTTATTCTACTCCCACTCACCCTCTTGCCCGTGAAGCGGAATGGCCGGGGGGTGCTGATGTCAGGGAACAGCTGCTCTAGACGGGGCTCTCGATCTTGGCGAAGCCCGTGGCAGGAGCTGATCGTTAGCAGATCTACACGAAGTCCATCCAGGGAATAGCAGAGGGTCTCCCGGTGGTAATAGATGGTATCCAGGGGGCTGCAGGGGTAAAACTCATTAAGCCAGTTGAAGTCCCTAAAGTCCTAGCAATAGGTGGGCCTTGTCATGTCCCCAGGATTTGCAAGATCTGGTGCTTCACCCTGACCTTTGGGGCCTTACAGTTCCTCCCAGTGTGAAGGGAGGCCGAGGATCTGGACGGGTGTGCGCTGCCAGAATGCCAAGTAGAGGACGGGATGAACTTGCCCCCCCACCCCCCACCCCAGTTTATGGCTCTGGAGGACGGATTGCTGTGCACAGACAAAGAGAGCTGCCCTTTATTGGGACAGAACAAAGGTGTGCTGAGCAATGGCAGTGCTGGCCAAGTTCTGGATAACTGGCGGGAGCTGGGATAGTAAGGGCCTGACCTGGACAGGTGGGTGAGTAGAGTAAGTGGCGGTATGCTGAGCAAGGTCACACAGAAATGTATTTGTCAGAGGTACCCAAAGTCCCACATTCTGTACAGAGAAAAGAACTGATGAAGCTTTGGTTCAGGGCTCTGAGGGTAAGTTCCAGAAGTAGCGGAGGTGCTGTCTGGTCCAGGAGCGTGTGGCAGGAGTCAGAACGGGCCTGGCACCTGCTGTGGGTAGGGTGGCTCTCCAGAAAGCGCTGGTCTAGCTGGTTCAGTAAATCCTGGCAGTCACTGTACGAGAAGGGGTAGCAGAAGGCGAAGAAGGTGGTGGCCCCGCGGCCCTCCACGAAACGGTGAACGAAGGAGAGCACAAACTGCGTCTCTGTCATCTGAGCAGCAGAGGAGGAAAGGGGGGGGCCAACAAGCCATCAGTGTCACAACAAAGATCCCATTGAAGTCACCAGAACTGGTGACCTCACACCCCCACCCCATTTACCAACTTCCCTCCCTCTGAGGCTTCCCGTGTGACAGCCAGCTCCTCTGAGGTCTCCTGAGGCAGGGCTCATCTTGGACCCCTGCTAGCACTGCAGGCGAAGCTGGCACTGACACCCGGGGTCCTGCCTGCCTAGTACTCAGTACTGAGTCCTCTTCACTTTCCCTCCTCCACCTTTAGCACCCAAGTCTTTCTTTCCTCCTCATGGACAACTTACCTCAAAGGTGGGCCGGTCTCGAATGCGTTCCCAGCGTGGCCGGGTGGGCAGTGTACGCACAAAGGGGGCCATGCCCTGGGAATACAGCTTGCTTTGCTTGTTCATGTTCATAATATTGATCTTGATAAGTTTCCCTGGAGATCCTCCCCGAACACTGAAGTAAAACCACGACCTGAAGGCCAGAGTTGGAGAGACGGGTCATTAGGTCCGAGAGGGTTGGAGAGAGGACGTGTAGGAGAGTAGTAAGGAGGGAGGGAGGGAGGAGGGCTGGAAGAGAAGGCAGGGTGGGTGGTGTGTCGTTATGAGCTATAAGTCAAAGGGCTGACCACGGGTTTGGGGGCAGGGACATCCCCTCTCTGTTCCTTCTTCCACCCTCCTGCACTTTCCTCTTACCTGTTCCCATTCTCAAATTCTGTTTCAGCACAGTCTGGTCGGGTCCACACGTTGAACTCATAGTCGGGGGAAGAGGCAGTGCTGCCGGTGGGGGCTAATGCCCCCCCTGCTACTCCTTCCCCATCACTGGACACAGATTCCACCTTCTCCACGTGGGCGAGGTTCCCCGAATCAAACCGAGAACTGAAGAGCAGCCCCCCACAGCGCAGCTCCATGGCGGGGCTGGGAACGCATCCTCCTGCCGCACTCTGGCCCTGAGAGCTGGGGAAAAGGGGGCGTGGGTTAGGGAGGGGAGAGAGGAAAAATGAAAACGAGCTTTTTGGGTATCTCCAGATAAATGAGAGCTACTCTTAGGGAGTGCCCTAGGAAGCAAGAGGCTCTCTCCCTGCCAGAAAAGGTCTTCCATTGAAGGCCAAGCAGTATTCTGTCTCCAGACTAAGGGTTACAACTGACCTGAAAGGACTCCATTTTACCACAGCTTGGCTATTCCAAAATGAAATATTCAGTGGCTTAACTAGGTTCAGAGAAATACTAAGACATACTAGACTCTAAGCTTCTTTGAAGCCCAAAATTAGAAAATATAATTAGGTCAGATTGCCCAAACCTAGCTAAGATATTGATATACCCACCGCAACACATGGCCATCTTGAAAGAGGGGCCATTCGGGATCTCTGCTTCCTAGACTGCACCTCCCCCGCCTCCCCAGCAAAGCAGAGTGGAAAGAAACAAATTTCTAAGTTTGAATGGGCAGCTTCTTGTCTCCACTCCTTTGTCCTCACTAAGTACCGACCAGGCGCTCTTCTGTTGCTCCCCTGAGCCCTGGAAGGGCTGGTTTTTCCTTTTTTGTTTTTCATTATGGAAAAAACTAGAAAAGTGTGGTCTTGACAAGCCAAAGGAAACTGGGCAGAAGCCACTTGCTCACCTAGAGACTGCAGCTCAATTCCAATTAGCGCACAGGTCTGTTTCCACCCTTCTCCAGCCCTGTAAGCACTGGAGTCCCTGAACAGGCTACTCTGGTAGTTGGGGTGAATAATGGGTGTTGTCAGTACCCCCCAAAAAGTGGCTGGTCGAGACCCACCTGGGGACAGGGGGGTGACTTCTCGACTCTCAACTCTGAAGGACTCAGCTGGCCCTGGGCGGGGTGGGGTATGGAGGCATGGAATAGGTCAAAACAGACTCACAGTAGAGGGAGGGCGAAGAGGCCGAGAACAGGGGTCAGAGGTGAGCCCACCGGAGTGGGGGGGTGGGGCCGGGAAAGCAGGGTCGAGGGGCGGGTGGGATTCCAGAGGGGCTCGGGGCTGAAAGGGCAGAGAAGGGGGCGGCGCCGGGGCGGGCGGGGCCCGCACTCCACGCGGAGCCCCTCACCTCTCTCTGGGCCGGTGATCCCGCTCCCTCTCCCGCTAGCGAGGCGCCACCTCGGGCCCCGGCACCCGGGCCCTTTCCCCAGGACCCAAACAAAACCCTAGCGCCGCGGTGCCGGGACCCCGCTCTGCCAGGAAACAAGAAGTCTCGCGCCTATTGGCCACATGTACAGCTGGCTACCCGCCCAGTAAAGCTCGCTGCCATTGGCCAGTGCGCAGGGCTCCCTTGCACGCGGACCGGTGCCTGAGCCAGTGCCGTTTGGGGGCTCGGCCCGGCGGAAGGGTTCTGCCCGCGTTTTCTCGGAAGATAGTTAACGGCTTGCCAGTGGAGAGGAGGGAAACACAAAATGACCAGGAAGTAAACTGGAAAGGACTTACCTTCAAATAAAAAGGACAAAGTATGAAAGTTACCACTGCCTGCCGTGTCTCAGTGTACTACAAATGCGCCACCGGTTCGGTGATTTCCCGCTGAAAGGGGATCCTCTAGCGTGGGCAAAAACTAAGTGGAGGATGCGGGCATCGATCCCGCTACCTCTCGCATGCTAAGCGAGCGCTCTACCATTTGAGCTAATCCCCCGGCTGTTACTGGTGCTCTTCCCTTTACCCTACAGGTTGTTGCAAGCTGTGTACTAACCGGTAGACCAACCAAAATTCAGAATATTTATTTAACACCAGAGTACAGCGGAATCGTGGGCAAAACTTTAAAAAAGCAGGAATAACTACACGTAAGCAATAGTAATAAAGCCTTGTTTAAACTAAAACACATGTGAATGTCTCTGCATTTAACTCACAACAGGGTTGTACTGTACGTACCCTGACTACTTATTACAAATATATTTTACCGAACATCGGCTACTCACGCAAACTCAGTCTGCCTTTTTCCTCATGAGAGGACTGAATTAAATGGAAGTTAAAAGGGAAAAAAGAGACCCGAAGTCCTTCGAGCCGGAATCGAACCAGCGACCTAAGGATTGCCACAGCTCATCCACTACAGTCCTCCGCTCTACCAACTGAGCTATCGAAGGCTCGGCTGTTCCCGTGTTCGGCCGGCTACCCTCTAATACTTACCCAGGGCTCGATATTCGAGATGTTTAGAACTTTCTAGAGCCCAGACTCCACCTTCTAAAGAAGCTTACCCCGGCCGAGCCCCTCCAAACCACACAGAACAGAGCAAGCCGGAGACTATAGTGCGAGGAAAGCACCCGCTTCCCAACCCAAATGTCGGAAACGCGGGCAATACACTTCCCTTCCGTTTCCCTGCTTTCCACAACACCAAACAATACACAGACACCCGACACCCGACACCCAGCTTCCCCGCTCCCCCCCCACCCGCCCTCATTGGCTTCTATGGTATTGCTGACGCTTAGAGATCCCGCCCGCAACCCTAAGTTTCTGCGCAGCATTGACCAGCGGGTCCAGTGCGCGTGCTTGCTCTAGAATTGCAAAGCGCAAGCCGGGTTTGCGGCTCCGACCGCTTGCTTTTGCTATTTCGCGTTTTCTCGGAGGACGCCAATAAAATCCTACTGTTTTCCTAGTGTGAAACGCATTCACTCAATCAATTAACCAACGTTTTGTCAGGATCTGTCCGTCCTGACCAGGGCAAGAAAGATACAAACCGTGGAGCTGATCGAGGGCTGCAGAAAGGAGCGGGATCCGGTTGCGCCGAAACCCCGCGCTGCGGGACTGCGGAGCGGGCGGGGAGAGGGGCCCTGGGGCAGGGCCAGGCCCACTGGTCTCCCGCCCCTAACCGGCCCGGCCCCCGCCCCTATCCGGCTCACACCTGCACCTGTCTCCAAGGACCTGCAAAACCAGCCCGCAATCCATTGCCCATTAGAAGCTCCCAGGCTTTAAAAATAAAGAAACCAACCTAAAACCCAACTCTTCTGCGAAGCCTTGCTGGTGGGATCGGTGTGCGGGAAGACCTGGCCTCCATTTCCAGTTCTGGGGCCAACCTGAAGTCACGATGCCCTGGGCAAATCCAGGTGATGATTTCAAGCCCCTTGCAACTCCGACATTTCATGGGTTCTCCTAGTCTGAGCTTTAAATCCGAGGTCTGTGAGATCGTTGAGCACAACGCGGCTTTGTGCCCACCCGCAAAGCAGGAGGTTAACATCTTGGTTTAATTCTGCTCTCTTGCTATCCCAGAGCGTTAGCTTGGGGTGTTTAGCACTTGTTTTTTTTTTTAGGGGTGAGGGCTGGGAACAGAGCTGGGTAGCAGAACATATTTATGTTGCTTTTTATTTTTATTTTTTGGCGAAATTCACATAACACCATTAACAATTCTAAAGTATGAACAATTCAGTGGCATTTAATACATTCACAATGTTGTGCAAATTTCCACCTCACTCTTGTTTCGAAATTAGAACAAAATCCGTATCCTTTAAGCTATTACTCCCCACCAACATCCCCTGGCAACAACGAGTCTGCTTTCTGTCTGTATGGATTTGTCCATTCTGGAGATTTCATAGAAAAAAATCATAAAACATGACCATTTATATCTGATTTCTTTCTCTTATGTTATTGAGACTCTAAGTTGTAGCTTGTATCAGTATCACCTCCTTTTTGATGGCTGGATACTATTCCCTTCTATGGATGTACCACATTGTTTATGCATTCAACTGTTTTGATGGACATTTGGGCTATTTCCATCTTTAGGCTTTTATGAGTAATGGTTTTATGAACAATCATGCACAAGTTTCTATGTGGATATATGTGTTCATTTCTCTTGGTTATCTATCTAGGAGTACAATTGCTGGTTTTCAAGGTAATTGTATGTTTGACTCTTGGAGGAGCTGCCAGACCGTTTTCCAGTGTCTGAACCATTTCACATTCCCCACCAGCAATGTGGGAGGGTTCCGGTTTCTCCACTTCCTTGTCAATACTTGCTTTCTGTATTTTTATTATAGCTGACATTTCAATAAATTAAGCTCAATTAATTACAGGCATTTTATTATGTCATCACAGGTTATTTGGAATCATTTGAATTGCCATTTCTCATCCTTTAGTTTTACCACAATTTTTAAACATATTCATCTTTTTGTCAGATACAGTTTATATCCAAATTTTCATTGTTAATACTCCTACATTAAATGTTCTGGAACATAAACCTTTGTACATATTTTTACTCTTCTATTCTCCAGAATATATATATATATCTGGAGAATATATATATATAGTTTTTGTTAACTTTTTAAAGTTATTATTTTTACATATTTACATAGTTGGGAACCTCACATAATTTTGTACAAAATTATACAAAGTCTGAATATATTTTTAGAAATGGAATTACTTGGTAAAATAGTATGAAACTAAGATCTTTTGATATTACCAAATTACTTCCTAGAAACATTATATCAATTTCAATCATAGCATTCACTCAGTATATCAATTTTAAAAAATTCTTTGTTAATATATGCAAAAGTGGTATCTTATTTTAAATTTGCACTTTTTAACCAATGAAATGGTTAAAAAGTATAGTTTCAAGTCTATTGTTCATTTGCATTTATTCTATGAATTGTCTTTTACCTGTATTTTTATTATTGTTTTCTTCACTTATTGATTTGTAAGAGTCCTTTAACATTAAGGTTGTGTTTATGATAAGCTCATAAGTCCTTGATCAACACAGCAACTTGACCTAACAAACATACACAGAACATCCTACCCGACAGCAGCCGGACACACATTCTCCTCAAACAGACCAGGAACGTTCTCCAGGATAGCTCACATTAGGCAACAAGTTTCAACAAATTCAAACAGACTGAAATAATACGAAGTATGATCAGTGTGAACTGTGAACTTCAGAAGACAATGAGGCGTCAGCGTGTGGGAGAGGCTGAACAAGAGCGAGGGCAGGGGCCATGTGCTTTTTGCTCAACTTGGATGTGAATTTAAATCTGCTCTAAAAAATAAAGTCCATTAAAAACTTAATAACTGGCATGCTAACACAGTAAAAAAATTATACCAAAGCACACCCAAAAGTATGTCTGAATTCAACTTTTTAATTCATAGGCAGAATATTCAATATTCCATAAATATTCACTCACACCCTGAACCATAGAAACTCCCCACCACCTCCAAATTTCTTCTTACACCTCAAGTCTGGGGCAATGAAAATACTTGGTTTTAAAAGAAAAAAAATAGGAAAAGCAAAGTCCTTTGTCTCCTCAAGCCCTTTTGGGAGCAAAACCATGGATGGTATGCACAAAAAGGATGGATCACTTTAAGTGTTCACTTAAACTCAAACTCCTTTAGGAGAAATGAGACATACTAAAATGCTGAGGTCATCTAACCACTGTCATTTCTATGTCACTGACAACTGGGTTATTCTGGGGTGGGGCAGGGGAGGCACATCCCTCTCTGTGTGAAACACTCCACCCCAAGGGCGGTGGCATTTGAGAATGGACCAACAATGCTACAGGTGTGAGACCAGTGACATTATCTGCCTGGCCAGGTTCTCTATCTATAGTAAGGGCGGCTGGCCCATCAAGCTGGCCTGCTGTACAGCTGACGCTGTAGACTGAGTACAAATAACCAGAGGAATCTGGAAACGTATTTTGACTTAGAAAAACAGAAAGAAGTGTTTCAAATGAGTCATGTTATACAATTTGCAGGTCCACACAATTTGTAATAACTAAAGTTAGTAAGAGATAACTGTATTTAAACTGCCCCTGTTTTATGTCACGTTATCTGTAGAACTCCAGCTGTGTGTGAAAAGTCAAGTTACAATGTCCAGATGTGACTCTCTGAAGTGTCAGTGTACTTCTGTTCTTCCCGTAACACCAACAGTCGGTGTCTGTCTGTCAGCACCCGAGTGTGTTCCACTAGTCCACACTAGTTCAACGCGCTGGCTCGGTTTGGATTCCTGTTTGTTGAGTTCTGCAAAAATGAAACATCTGGATGTCTGGTATAGCCTTCACGGCCAGCAGGTGCAACTTTGGATGCCGCCTCCTCTGGCAGAGGAAAAATTCTGGGCAATCCCAATATTGGGTCAACCAACCGCATCTATTAAACAAAGCCAATTCAGGTGTCCAGTGTCCTTGTGAGAGGCCGTGGGGACCTCAGTTAACCTAAGTTGAAAGGAAATGTTGCACCCCAGGATCACATGCCAGAAATGAAATGAACCCAAGGTACAGTACACACATTAAACCCAATGAAGCACTTCTAAGTGGCGTTCTATGAAATGCTGGATTGAGAGAACTCTGCCCAGCAGCCTTGGCTGGACTCCATGTCATTGTTGGATAGTGTCATCACTTTCTTTCGCTGTTGCCAACCCAGGATCACCACACCAGCCCCTTTTTCTACTTGCCTTGAATATAGGCCAGTTCCAAAGCTTCACTACTAAGAATCAACCCCAGTTGTTTCTCCCATCCAAGTACTAACCAGGCCTGACCCGTCTTAGCTTCTAAGACCCCACTTGTTTCCGACTGGGGAGGAAGGAGTGAGGAAATGGCACATGTCCTGGGACCCTCGGACAGTCCTGCCCTTGTTCTTTGCCAGGCCTGGTCTCCAGTTTCTGTGAAAAAAGGCCATGGCTGCCCCTGGGACAGCAGGGTTCTGCCCACGCGGGCCATTTACTTCCCAAGGAGTAACATCCTAACAAGGAAAGGGAGCAAAAATGAGTGGGCAGTGCACCTCTATTGCTTCTATTTTGAAACATTCAGGAAACATGAGATGGAAACTGAAAACCCGTGCAGTTGACATACAGTCTCAAGTCAAAAATTAGAAGCGAGTTTCATGATAAACCCCTGACCCCGAGTTCTTAAGTTCCAAATCTTTCACTCACTGCTTTATAGAATAAACCAATTAATAAAGTCCTGGCAAGGAAGAAGGCACCCCAGTTGCTGGCCAAGAATTCCCGTAGGAGACTCTTCCCTGCTTTTCCCAGCATAAAATACATCAGCTGTCGAGGCCAATCACAACTGGGACACAAACTGCAGCTGTGAGACGGTACAGCTGGGGGAGCAGGACGGGACGGAAGTGCGTCTAGAACCCCCGCCAGGCCAAGTTCAGACCGACGGGTGTGGGCTTTCCTGGCCAGCTCGGCTACTGCCAGTGGCTACAAGGCCTAGGGGGGCAGGGGGCATATTTTGTTCTGTCCACAACTATGGGGATTCCTGTGTGAGGATTCAGAGAGGATGGCTAGAAAGCAAATCTGTGTCCTTTATTCTACCTAGCAGGCACACCCAGGAGCCAGATGCTGAATCCTGCCTCGACAGGCTGCTGGAAGGTTCCCGGGGCCCGAGGCACACGACTAACTGGGCTCTGCTCTCCAGACAGGTGGTAAGGTAGGCAGTAGGGAGAGCAAGCATCTGGAGGCAGAGGACCCCAGCACTGACAGGGATGGCGAGGGAGTCGGGTGACGATGTGAGGGCAGTAAGGGCCTTGAAGGGCCTGGGCTGGGCGTTTCAAGGCGAGAGGGCTTCCCACCCAGGCCCCCGTGTCCACACTGCATGCTGCCGTGCCCCATTGTGCCCTTCTTCTGGAAGTCCCTTTCCTCTTCCTGCCGTGGTGAAAGTATGGGAGCAGAAACGATTCATCGGGAACCAACACAGAAGCCACTTGCTGGAGTCCACCTTCGGGGAGGAGCTGTCTGGGGCTTCAGGAAGGAGACGGCAGGCAGGAGACGAGAGACGAGGCCAGAGAGGCCGCCAGCCCGAGGGTGGAGGCTGGGAGCTATGCATGTGCAAAAGGCCAGAGAAGGGTTCGCTGGAATCGGGGGTTGGAGGCCGAGATACCCCCCGGTTCAGGAACCCCTAAAGACGGAAGAACTGGTGCAGAGGCACCTGGCCACTTGGCTAGAAGACAGAACTCAGGCACCAAGTGAAAAAGACCCCACACAGAACTGCCTCCCTCTGCCCCCAGCAGTCTCAGATGGCCCGTCTCAGGTAGAGCCCAGTGGCCGAGGAGGGAGGGCCTATTGCTGGGATATCGTGGCAAGTGCCCAGTCCAAGAAAGCCACTGTGATGTCCTGTAGGCAGAGCCAGGTCCAGCGGGCAGCCTCGCTGAGCTGTGTCTTCACGCAGTCCCAGGTCACCTCACCTCTGGGAAGAAAGGAGCACGCAGGTGGGGGCGGGGAAGTAGTGGTGTGCGGCTGCGTCAAGTCAGGAGGCCGCCGCTCAGCCCTACACCAGCGTGGCCAAGGGATGAGCAAGGGGCAGGGCGGAGTGCGAGACTGAAGAGGAGCCTGGAAAAAGGGCATGGGGCCCCCGTGCTCCTGCGGGAGCCCTGGATGAGAGTCTCACCTGCAGGCCTCGTGGCAGCGCTGCTGGGCCTGGGCCAGGGCCTCCAGCAGCAAGTGCCACAGCGGCAGCAGCGCGCGGTGGTAAAGAAGCAGGAGCAGCTCCCTCAGGGAATGGAGCAGCTGGGTCAGGACATCAGGGAGCTGGAGCACGGAGAACGAATGGGGTTAGGGTGCCCGGGGAATCCATCCTGGCCCCGAGGACCCAGTCCACTGGGGCTGCCCCTCCCCAAGAACTCAGCTCCTGGGGAGACCAGCCCTTCTCTGACCTCCCTGTCTCTGGCTTACGCTCTGGGAGAGGATGGTGAGGCTGTCACTGAAGCAGGCACAGTGGGCAGAAAGGAAGCTGACTGTGGCGTTGATGTGGGTCCAGGCCAGCTGCAAGCTGGGCCTCACCGTGGTCAGCAGGTGAGAGCCCCAGGCCGGCAACGTCGCCTCTAGCCAGCTGTAGGAGACCGGGGAGAGAGGGGCTGAGCTTCCTCAGGCAGCATGGCTCCCCCCACGGACTGTCAGTGCCCTCACACTCTGAACGCCCAATCCCTCTCTCCCCACTCCCCTCCCCGGGAGGTGCTCACCTGTAGCCTTGCAGGCTGTAGGCGTAGATCTTGGCACACGCTTGTTGGCCAGCAGGCAAGAAACCGGACGACTGAAGCAACCGGCCAGAGAGGGAGGCTGGGTAAAGGGGGCCTCTGGTGAGCTGGGAAGTGGGGGGAGCGGGCCGAGACTGGGCAGACAGACACTGTGGGCTCCAGAGCACACTGGAAGGGGCGGCGCAGGCCCCGGGGTGGGGGGCTGAGCCATCTCCTGCTGGGCCCGGTGAGCAGGAGCGGTGCAGCCAGGTGGAGCCCTGGACTGAGGCATCAGAAAGCCTCCTGTCTGGCGTCTGCGTTCTACTCACCAGCTGTGATCTTAAAACTAATGGATACATCTTTCTGCACCTCAGTTTCCTCAAGAGTTAGAAAGGCGATAACACCTACTTAAGTGAGACCATGAACACGAGAGCATCTCTATACTGCAAAGCACTTGTTCAATCTGAAGTGGTAATGTCACAGTTGTGGACACAAGTGTCTGACTGAGAAGCGTTTGTTCTACAGCATCAGAGCAAAACTGTGCGGGGGCGGGGGGGCGGCGGGAACAGAGGTGCTACACCCAGCTCTACCCCCCACCTCCACACTGCCTCCGTTGCCTGAGGATCCCTGCTTACCCTGGAAAGAGCTGTGGGACCGGAAGTCGTGGCACAGGAAACCTACGACAAAGATCAGCACCAGCAGGAGCAGCCGCATCCAGGGCAGCCGCCGGAAGCCCTGAGCCTGCTGCAGCAGAGCCTAGGAGGCGGGCAGGCAGGAGCAGTGGTCAGAGGGAAGGGGCAGGTCTTGCCTCCCAGGCAGGCCTCAAGTAGGACTCCCAGGGCGAGGGGCCAGCCCCCATGTTATCCCAGAGGCAGAGGGGGCTCCAAGGACAGGTGGGGCAGGAATGCGACACAGGCCCAGCCTAGGGTGTGCCAAGACAGAGACGCGGAACAACGTGTGGGTTGGGGAGGGCCGCGTGCCAACACCTTGCAAGCGGCGTCACAGGGGACAACATCCTGGTTATTACAGCTGCCTTTCCTCAGCAGCTCCTGGTTGGTGAGGCTGAAGGATTGAATGGTTTCTTGCAGAGACTTCTGTGCCTACAGGATAAGAAACGTCTCGGCTGAGAGTTAAGATTTGGCCTGTGAGGGAACCCTGAGACGCCACCTTGCTTTACTTCCCAAGTCAAACGTATCAACAAAGCGCCTTCTCAGCGGAGCGGGGACCGTGGCCGGGGGTACGAACCCAGAACCCAGACAAGGCTCTGCCTGCCATGTCCTTCCAGCTCCTTACCTTCTTGGGGATCTGCTCCCAGGACCTGAGCAAATGCTCCAGCAGCAAACTGTGGGGGAAGCACAACCCCTTCGGATCAGGGGGCCTACTTGGCCCCTCCCACCCTCTGCCAAACCCCTGGCTGCTTCAGACTGAAAGACTGCACCCCTCCACCCCCCCGCAGCAGGCGAACAGCGTCACAGAGGCCATGCAGCAATGTTCCCCTCAGCCTGAGAGGCATGAGCCTGAGCAACAGTCACAACTGTCCCCCTTCTGCTTCTAGGACAGGGACAGGCTGGGAGGCATGACCCCACCACCTGCCTGGATTGTGACAGATGCTTAGAGTACAGCTGCCTCCAGACACTGGCGCTGAGGGGGTCCACCTTCAGGCATTCGGTCAGGCTGCTCAGGAGCTGCAGAGGAGACGGGAGCGGGGGAGACAGACTGCTGGGCTGGCGCTGGGGCAGGGGAGAGCATTGAGAAGCAACCCCCTGCTCCCAAGTGAGACCAAGGAGGCAACATTCCCACTGGAATGGGCGGAAGGGTGGAGAAGTCACGCCCACACCCCAGAAATCTCAGAGGCTGTAAAAGGGGAGGCTGGGGCCCTGAGCTAGACCTTGAGCTCTAAGATCACTCGTCCGCAAGGGGGAAGACACGAGAGACAGCCAGATGGGGACGTGCTGTCCTTTCAGCTCTGTTCTTCTAAGGGTAGAACATGGCGGAGTGGGGCAGGAGGCTGTTGGGAGCGAGCTGAGGGGTGTTCGGGAAACTGGTCCCTGAAGGCTGGGCCTTTGTCAGCAGATGGTGACCTCTGCAGCTGACCCCTGGAAGGGAAAAAGGAGCCTCCTGCCATTTCCTCACCTCTTTCTTCATTGCTGGAGGGCAGTTAGGGGTGGCTCTGGACAGGAAGGAGGGGAAGTAGATGTGCAGGGTGGATTCCGGCTTCGCCCCAAATGCCAGCACCTTCAGTCGGGGGTAGAGCTGACACAGCTGCTCCTGCAGGCTGGGGCAGGGGCGGGGAGGGGAGCCAGGCTTAGGCTCTCCATGGAGTTTTGTGCCCCGCCCCCTCTGCCTGCCTCAGAGTCCACACCCTGCCCGAGGAGGGGGCGTCTAACGACCTTGTAGGGGCTCTGAATTTTGTTAGACTCAGAGACTCCCTGGAAAATCTGTTGAAAGTCATGGACCCACCCCCCAGGAGAATGCCCACATGCCAACCACACTCAAGGGTCCATCTAGTTTCAGGGGGTTTCCTGATTCCTTGAACGTGCAGGCTGAGACTCTTAGATTTAGGGTGGCTGAAGAAGGGACAGGAATACACTGCTGCTTCTAACCCCGCGCTGGGACCCTTCACAGCAGGTGTGTCCAGGGTGGCCCACCTGGGTGTCAGGGAGTTGTTGGGCATATAGGCGAAGTCCAGAAGTGGGAAGAAGTCCTTAGGGCCAATCATGCCAAAGCCCTTGGTGAGATTGGGGTGCATCCTGCGTGAGAAGAAAGAAACAGGCTTGTTGGGGGCCCCCACCCAGGCCGTGAGCTCAGCTAAGACCAACATCTAGGAAGGAGGACATAAACACTATCCCGTATCTCACCCCTTAGCAGCACCCTCCCCTTCCTCCCTCACCACCACATTCTGAGCCGGGAGGAGTTGGTCCTGACTTTCCTCGAGTCTGTGAAGACCAGGATCCCAGCGTCCCATTTTACTGAAACAGCCACTTGGAGACACCTGGGCCCTCCCCTTGCTGTCCCCCCACGACTCACAGAAGCAGCCGATCCAGGTATGCAATGGCAAAGGGGGACAGGCACTTGATGCCCAGCACAGGCAGCATGATCCCCAGCCACACTGTGGAGACAAAGGTCGGGGGGGAACCTCAGGCTTAGACCCACTGAAGGCATTAAAGAGGGGCTTCCTGGCTCTAGGCCCATCCCTCTCCCTTCCCCGTGGCCTTGTTACCTCTCAGTCCCTCGGTGAGGTTGGCAAAGCCTGCTTGACCCAGGGCCCACATGATGGTCAGGCACTTCGTTGGTTGGTTCTGGTGGGACCTCAGCAGTTCTAGGAACTGAGGAGACCAGCGAGAGAGGCAGGATGGGATAGAGCAAAGCATCAGGGCCACCCTTAAAGCCAGGCAGGAAGAGAGCTGTCAACTGGGAGAGGAGGACAGGCCAAGGGGCGGTGGGCGCTGAAGCAGTGGGCGCTGAGGCAGTGGGCGCTGAGGCAGTGGACACTGAGGCAGTGTGGTGCAGTCATTCAGGGCATGGGCGCTGGCACCAGACTGTGGCCCTCACCCACGCTTGCCTCTTGCTAATGGACTGGCTCTAGGAAAGTTACTGAACCCTTCTGTGGCTCAATCTTCTCTTCTATCAAATGAGAATAACAGGAATACCTGCCTCACACACACACAAAACACACGGTAGGTGCTAACAGTGTCAGCTGTCACGGCTGGTCTTACAGGGCCCTCTGCTAGCTCTCGATGGGGCCCAGCAGTGTACCTGCCCAGCGCCCCCAGCCCTAGCCGCCTGGTGTCCCCACCACCACCCTGAGCTCACCTTGCCCAGGTTCGTGGTGGCAATCTTGGGCTTGTCTTGCAGAACAGCCTGGATACAGATTCGGTAACCGTGCAGTGACTCCCCTGGAGAGATGCACATTCTTAGGCCCACACACAGGAACAGGCTCCCGAACCTGAAACCTTCCTGCTGGCAGCTGTGAGCCCCGAACCCAGGCCAGCAAGTCCTAGCCTCCTCCTCCCTTTCCCCAAGTGTCAGGGTGAGCATGCTTCCCTCCTGGAAATGACAACCCAGCCGCTCCTGAAGCAGGAAAAAGGGAACAGGCCCCCAAGATGGGGCCGGGCCACCCCTCGTGGGCCCCTTGTACCTGGCGTCTTATCCAGCTCTTGCAGCATGGTGAACAGACAGTGGTCAAAAAAGAACTCGAGAGACCCCGCTGCCTTTGCCAGCAGTCCTCGGATGACCCCACGCAGCTCCCGGCTCACCAGGCTGTAGGGATAATCTGGGGCAACAGGCCTCCACGTGAGCGCCCAGGGCGAAAGCCTCTGCCATCTGAGCACACTGGTGTGCACCCTGAAAACGGGGAGTGCAGGCAGAGGTCGCAGCCTCCTCCCGACCCCAATAAGGCCCAGCCACGTTCATGGCCACGATGGTTTGGGAATAGCTCCACCCATGAAAGTCAGTGCACTGGGGTCTGTTACAAAGTAATGTGCTTACACGTAGCCATTTCAGAATTTTCTTGAACCTGTCTGAGCCTGAGGGAGTTGAGAGAACTAACCGTGAGTATGCTGGCTCAGTGTGGGTTCACTTGGAGGTGCCTGGAGCTTGTAGTTCAGATAGCTGGCCAGGTCCTTCAGCCACACGGATGGGTTCCCAGAGAACACACTCTGGCTCTTGTCCAGTTCCTTCTGTAGAGCTGCCACGTCCAGCTGCCAGGGATACAGGCCGCCCATGGTCAGTTGTGGGTGAATTGCAAATGCAGGAAAATTGGGCAGAGGTGGGAAAATGGTTGAACTAGGCGGTGGTCAGAAGAACAAAGGTGTCTGCTTTTAAACGTAAGTATGTGGAAGGCCACAGTTTTGCTGCACCCAGACCTTTAGAAAGTGTAGGACAGCTGGAATTGCTAATCTCAAGGCCCAGCACTCTCGGGCCTCTCACAGGTTCAAGGGGGAAAACAAAGGACAAGACGCACAATGAAAGATCACGGCTTCCCAGGGGCAAGGAACCACAGGCAGTTTCTCTAACCTCTTCCTGGTATCTCTGGGTTTCAAGGCTCTCTGCTCACCAATCCATGTTTCCCTACACAATTCTGACTCCCTTGTTATCCTAAGAGCAAACATTCTAAGCCTTGGGGTTTCCACCCTTGCCTGAATGCCTCCTCTCGACCAACAGTGTCCCAAACCCCACAGGTCCCTCAGCTGTCCGGCCCCCTCTGCTCCTTTCACCCTCCCTGCACCCCAAGCCCTCCTTCTTCCCCCCTGAAGTCTAGGCACACTCACAGCTTTCAGGGCCTCCTCCAGGCTGCGGAAGCGGCCCTGCTTCTGGTTTTGGTTGGTGAGGGTCGGCGCCTTCTTAGTCTGCTTTTTGTTCCCGGGTTTCTTGGGCTCCACAGCAGGGGGTGGAACCTGCTCCTTATTCTGCTTCTTTGAGATCTTCTCGAAGCCCCTCTCGTAAAGGGTGCTTGTCGTCTGGATGGGAGCTGACAATAGGCAGAGAAAGGGGGGCCATCCTTGAGTCAGGAAGAGTGGTCCCTTCTCCCACACTGTCACCTAACTCATATCCATGGAGGAGCGGCCACAAAGCCCCTCCTTGCTGTCCTGCTGAGGGAGCAGGCCAGAGAGCCCTTTTGGTTGCTTCTTTCGGTCAAACAGCTTCACAGAGATGAGGCCGCTGTTAGGACACCAAAGTAGGAGGGCACCAGCGGAGGGCTGGAGGCAGAGGGGCTGGCTTCTCTGGCGAGTGGTTACTAGTCTGGGAGGTCAGGACTTTTCCGAGTTGGTTCCACCCCGGGCCCTCTTGGTTCGGACATGACAACTCCGTAATCAACAAGTGGCAAACCTTCTCCACTGCTCTGGGAGACTTGGAGGAAAGAGGCGCCAGGCGCCACTTAGAATACGGCGCGGTGGGTGTCTAGCGTGTGCGGTGGGTCATTTCTCCCGGGCTGGGCCTCGGGTCCGTCCGCCCCTCACCCCACCTGCTGGCTACTTAAGGGGGCCGCCCGCGACAATGAACCAGAATGCCTCTTCCCAGGGCTCGGCCCCCTGCCCGGAGAGGCAAGCAAGGGCCGGTGGCAGCTGGTAGGGTGGGTGCCGTCAGCTGGGCGTCCGAGGACCGGCATCCTCGTGCCTTCGGACAGGTGGTCCTGGGCAAGGCATCTAACTTCGCCGGGCCTCGGTTCACTGGTCTGCAAAGCCAGGACGGCAGCATCCCTCGCGCTGTCTACCATGTGTGAGTCTCCCGAGACACAAGGCAAGGGGAGCGCTCGCCGAACCCGGGGGCGCCGGTCGGCGGAGAGCTGGCGCCGGGAGGAGCCGGGGTGTCCGGCTGCTCGGTACGCCCCAGCAGGGGCGGGCCCGGGCCTGGGTCCGGGCGGCGGGCCGGGTGGGTACTCACGGGTCAGGTTGTACTTCCACACTCCGTTCGCCTCCCCGAGCGCCCGGCGGTCCACTCCGCCGCCTCGCCCACTGCTGCCGGCCCCGGGCCGTCGCCCCTTCTTCACCACCTCCCAGCGCCCCCCACCCGCCGCCTTCGCTGCCATGGCTCAGACCCTCCTGTCCCCTGCGGCCACCTCCCTGGGCTTTCCGGGGTCGGTGTGGACTCGCCGCGCTTTGCCACGTCCCCTCGCAGAGCCTCGCGGCGCGAGATGGCACCCGCAAGGCAGCCTGGGACTTGTAGTCTTTCGTCTTTGCCAGGTTATTCCTAGCGAGGGGTCGGGCGGGGGCTCTGGGCTCCTTCGCAGCAGAAACACCCAGGCAAAAATGTTGAGTCGCGAGGCTGATACATTCAGGAGAATGTTCTGCAGCAGCTACTGTGTGAAGGCCACTGCTTCAGCGGACTTGGAAATTTAACTGTCGCGGTTTGCCTTTCTCGGAGTGTGCCAGAAGAAGGATGGACTGGACACAGTTCTTTTCACCTCCAGGAAGAGTTTGTAGATTAAATGCTTCCTTCCTTCTAGGAAAGTGTTTGTTTTCTATTGCTAGTGATTAAACTTTGAGGTTAATGAGCTATAAAAATCTACGGGAAGGAACAAGGAAGAGGGTGGAACTTTAGGGAAGAGGTCGTTTTGGCAGGGTGGAGAGTGGAGAGTCCCGACAGCAGGCAGAAAAGTCTGGGACAGCCAAGGCTGGGTTTCCCCTTCCAGGCAAAGGGAAAGAAACGGCTCTGGCTCCCACTGCGGTCGGTCCCAAGTCCCAGATGCGGCAGGGAAGTGATCAACAGCCGCAGACCTGAGGAACCTCTCAAACGGGTTCCTGCACAGACATTCACTACCCCTGGAGGGCCTCCTGCCTGCTTGTAGTATCATGTAAGACCACGAAACCTGACGCATCCCTGCTGGGGTGAGGCGGGACGGCCAAATGAAAGTAACTTATCACAGTTAAGGAAATGTGCTGTTCTGTGTACACTCCTACGTTTGAGGATGAGATTCATACCTGCCATACTGAGGTGCAAGGCTGGCCAGGCTTTACAGTGAGATTTAAGAGAGTCCAAACTCCCACAGGACGGACAGCTTAGGGAGTGACGAATTCCTTAGGAAGGGAGAGGAGAGAAGCTTCCTGAAGGAGATGGCATTTGAGATGGGTCCTGAGGAATGGGAGAATTTTCATGGGTTGGGGATCAGGACAGATGGAGGGAACAGGCCAGTTGTATGGATTTATTGATTTAAGCAAAGGCCTAGAGGTGGGACCAGGCAGGGCAAGGCAGGGAAATGGGAAGTGGTTTAGTGTGGCAGTGCTTAATGGGATTTTGGAGGTGATGAGATTGGAAAGGTGCCTTGCCAGCCAAATTTGGACTTAATCCTTCACCCTGGTGACACAGCTTAGTAAGAAGCTAGGAAAATTCCTTGGCAAGTGGAATAGGGAAGCTGAGACACATAGCTAAAAACAAAAACAAAGACAAAAAAAACTAGCTGAGCAATTTATAGACTAGTACAGAGGGTCACCAGGGAGGTAGGCCTCCTGGCAGAGGGGCAAAACTAGGGAAACAAGGACCTTACCCCCAGGGTAACCTCTCCTCCCCTGGCCTCCCTCCCTAGAGATAACATCTGAGTCTCGGTTGTATGGGGTTGGCCAAGGTTGACCAAAACGTTCATTTAGTTTTTTCCCTACGATGGCTCTAGTATCTCCTAGTTGTCTTTAACTTCATTCGGAACAGTTTTGTTAGATTGTATTGTGATAGCTGTCATATCAGTATGCATTAAAAAAAATCAAAACTGGTGAATTTTTGTGCAGCCATTTTAATATTGAAGATGGAAGAAAATATGCAACATTTTGGGCCTGCTTTTATTATTTCAAGAAAGGTAAAAATGCAACTGAAATGCAAAATGAGACTTGTGCACTCTATGGAGAAGGTGCTGTGACTGATAGAATGTGTCAACAGTGGTTTGTGAAGTTTCTTGGTACTATTGACATTTAGCCAAATAATTCTTTACTGTGGGGCTGTTGATGCACTGCAAGATGTTTAGCAGCATCCTTGGCTTCTACCCACTAGAAACCAACAGGAGGAGATAGCTAACACATGGTAAAAATGAAAAATATGTCTTTTATTTTCCAGAAGAAACTAAACGAACTTTTGGGCCCGCCCAGTATTTCAGCTCAGGCCCAGAAGAGCAGCAAAAGCAGACCAGCAATGCCCCCAGCTGCACTGAATAAGGACACCCTGCCCTGGCCCCGACCACCCCGAGGCCGGCCAGGAGCCCGAGAGGACACACCTGGAAAGCTGATGATATGTTCCCTGAAGATGAACATTGGGCAATGCTGACCAACTACCTTAGCCTTTTACAGTACCTACCTGGGATAATGGAGGAAAAGCCTTTTAAAATTACTCATGGGGATTAAAAAATCATAAAAACCAATAAAAATAGGCAAGAAACTTGGAGAGAGAGAGATGAAATGTGACCAGAATGTGTGTGTGGGGGGTCAAGGAGGAGAAGTGAAGGAGGGGCGGACAGTTGCTTGTTTTAGGCATCTGCCTGGAGTCATCAGGGACATGGAGGTGGTCTGGAAGAAGGGTCGTGGAGTGGGGCCACGGGAGAAACAGCCCCAACTGTACCTCAGGAGGGTGAGGAAACAGCCACCAGGACTAGCCTGAACCCAGAGGAACCTTCTGGAGGCGATGCCTCTGTGGTCGTTGGGGATGAGTAAACCAGGAGTCAGGAGGTGTGGATTCTCATCCAAGTGTTTAGCACCCTGAGTGAGTCATGTTACCCGTGGGCCCCAGTTCCCTTCCTCGTAAATGAGGGTGCTGGGCTACCGCCAGCGCTCTGCGTGGACGGGCCTGGCACCCACATTCATTCTGTGCCCTCAGCTCTTGCTGGGCTTCCAGGACCTTTGTCTTGTTACTACGGCCCTCTGCTGGGGACAACCTGCGGTCTCGCTGATGCACTTCTCTGCCAGGCAACCGCCCTCCCCCGGTCGCTTCACTGGGCTGCCCGTCCTCACAGCCATGGCCCCAAACTTTGTTCCTCCTCAGGGCCTGGGGGTGGGGCATCCATGTCTCCCCTTGGAGCCCTGGCACCAGTGTTGGGAGATAGGGCCCAGGTCAGGGAGGGTGGCGGTGGCACTGTGCTCTGCAGCCATCACTTTGTTTGGAGAGGGGAGCTCGCACTCAAGGTAGCAGAGCATGGAGACCCGGCTGGCTTAGCTGAGGGAGACAAGGCACGAACTTTTACCACACGAGTTTATTTAAATAAAAGTGAACACATATGCAGGCTGGGTGGCCCGAGCGGGCAGGGGTGGGGGCCGGTGGATGGGAGGCGGACGCACAGAAGGGTCTCAGGGAGTCTGTGTGGTATGAACGGGCTGTGGAGGGAGTGGCTGGGGGCCTCGGGGCAGTGCTTGCCTTTGGGGCTGGGGAAGGGGCGAGGAGGGGGGTGACTCTGGTGCCAGGAGGTCATGTTTATCCCTCGCATGCTCCCCTCCCACTCCCTGACTGCCCGGGGCCTCGGCACGCCCACCTCAGTCCCCTGATCCCTCTCCTGACATCAGCCTTCCCCTCAGCTACTGGGGAGTCAAAAGACAAAATAAATAAGAATCAGTGAGTCCTGCCATGGCCCGGCAACAGGGGAAGGGAGCCAAGCCAAGCACACTGCCCCGGAGCCCGTGCTGTGAGCCCTGGGAAAAGAACAGGTAAAGTGCAAGGAAAATCCAGTAAGTAAAAATATACCAATGACTTTGTCAAATATACAGCTGCTGGCTGTCAGGGGAGCGGGTGGCCGGCTGGGGCGGGCGGCAGGAGCACCCTGGGAAGTGTTGGCCGACACAGCACGGAGACAACGGAAATAAATAGGGGTGGGGAGTGGGCAGGCGTCCCACCCACTGGGCCAGGGCCCCTGCCTGCCCACCTGCCCCATCCCCTCGAGCCCCCCTTGCTGACTCCCCAGTGCTGCGGCACTGACACAAAGCACCCAGCCGACCGGCTGCAAGGGAAGGATTATAATGTGGGGGAGGGAGGGGAGGCGTGCAGTCAGCCAGGGCCAGGGCCGCCCTCAGTACTCGTCCTGGTCGTCTTGTTGGTGCTCCTCAATCTCGTCGTCCTCGGGGGGTGCAAATCCTTCCTGGAGGCGGGAAGGGAGGGGAGATGGTGAGGCAGGCAGGCCGGGCCAAGGATGTGGGCTTGTATGGGGAGACTGGGAGCAGGGGCCCAAGTTCTAGTCCTGCTTTCCCTGCTAGTCAGTGCTCTCCGTGACTTGGGCTCGTGACTTCAGCTCCCTCCCCTCATGGGTCCATGCTCTCCAAGGCTCCTTCTGGTCTTAGGGCTGGTGGCCAGGGGTGGGCCCAGTGGGTCCCTGGACAGGAGCAGGGGAAGGCAGGGCTCACCTCGGTGGCGTAGAGGATGCTGATGATGCCCGAGATGACGGGGCTGTTCTCGCTTTCGTGTTCCTGGCAGATGAGCTCGATGTCCCGAAGTTTGCTGAAGTAGAAGTCGCGCTCCTTCTCCAGCCCGTCCACTGTCAGCTTCAAGTCCAAGAGCTGCTTGGGGCGAAGCGGGTGTTCAAGCCAGAGCTCCCTGCCCCAGGCTCCCCTTCCTGCCCTGACACCCCAGGGGCCTGGCTGCTGAGGCGGGGCTGTCTCAGCTCCCCTGGCCCGCCCCGCTCACCTGCTGGTTCAGTTCGAGAATTTGGGCGTCGGTCTCATGGCCGCCATTTCGGGCTGAAGGGGGATTCTTCCGGAGGATGCAGGGTGGGGCCACGTTGCTCAGTCGGCCAGAGGTCTGCATGTTTTTGGGGCCTGTAGGGGACGTCCTCTGTGGAACTGCCCGGGGGAGAAAGTTCGAAGGGGGCCGTGTGAGCCCGTGGCTCAGGTGGCAGGGGACCGCCTGGTGTGACGAGTACAGCGGCGGGCCTCTGCAAAAGGCAGGCACGCATGCCCTCCCCTCCTCTCCCACTGGGGGGCATCTGCGTCTAGGCCTCAAGCCACGGCCACACTTGACACCACAGCAGCTGGGCAGCCCCGCGGCAAGCCTGGGGACGGCGGGGACCACGGGGAGCGGATGAGGTGGGAGGCGCCGGGAGGGAGGAGAGCAGGTCTGAGGGAGACATGGGGGGAATGGGGTGGGGGACTTGGGAAGTGGGGCTGGGAGGGTCGGGGGCCCTCTTGGACTGACCGCTGAAGCCTGAGGGACAACAGCTGGGGCTCGAAACTAGCTCTCGCTGGGCCTTCCCTGACCGACGTCCCAAAGCCACCCACACGGGGGACCTCAGACTGTCGGGACTGGAGGAACAAAGGAAACCGGCCCCTGCCCCTATCCCCCCCGGGGCTCCCGGCCTCAGGGTGGGCTCTGTGCCCTCCGTCGGGCCTGACTCGGGGAACAGCATGCTGTGACCACGTGTCCTCTAGCCGGACAGCTCCCACACAGAGCAGGCTCCTAGTG